ACGCACTTGGGCCCGAAAGGCTCCATTGCGTTGCCGAGGATGGGGATCGCCCTTGCGCACGGGACGACGGAGAAGAGCGCTGCGGAGTCAGGGTGGACATAGCCGGGCTCATCGATTTCCAGCTGGCGAGCCAAAGTCGGCATGGCAACCTCATCGCCGCCCACGATGTTGCCAACAGCAGTCTCAGTTGTCATGGCGTACAAAGGGAATGAAAGAAAAAGAAAGGGAAAAAAGAGCTGTTTTGAGAGCCGTTGAAAGACCAAGGTGGAGAGTGCTTTGTCTTTGTCTTGTTAACTTTACGGTGACCCCACAATAAATGAGAGAAGTGGACGAAGAACGGTACAGAGGAAGAGAAAAGACGGTGATGAGTACGATAAAAAAAACTTTCGCTGCGCGTGTTGCAAGATACCCTTTTCTTGATTGCAATCGTTACTTGCGGAGGCAGTGAGGTGACGCAGAAGCTGACGGAAGCAGTCAAAGTTGCGCAGTTGTGGGGAAGAGAGAGAAAAAAAAACATTTCCATCTTTCTACAGAGAAACTCACTTTGTATTACGAAAGAAAGAGTATTAGTAATAAAGACAGTTGTTGAGAGGTGCTAAGAAAAGAGAAAGAAAACAATGCACGGCAAGTGTAGAAAAGGGACTGCTTGTTAAATCTCATCTCGCTCCTTCAACAACTGTAATTTAACGAAAATAGCTACAATATTCAAAGGCCTTCTATTTTTAAAAATCCTTTTTCTTTTTCCAAATAGTGTATAGCAAGGCTTGAGTCTGGCGACACAAACGCTAAACCTTTATAAGTTATTTTTCGCAGTGATGATGCCGCAACAATACGATTTGCTCTGCGAATGACAGCAAACACAAAAAAAAACGCATGAGGCACACTAAACACTTTAAACAAAAAAAAAGTCGATAGTTATTCAAAACAAGGGTAGTAGATAACAATGCTTATTATCAATACATCATTTTACCTGAACTCGTCGTACAGTAGGAAAAAAAATAAACAGTTAGAATTACAATGACGTGCTACTCAACGCACTTTTACCTCCGAAGCTCTCTCATTACCACTTTACCGCTTTCGAAGGGTAGAGTTGCCAATGTAGTCAACAAAACATATGGAGAGAGAACGAGCGAATTGGTTTTTTAAAAAAAAAGGCAGCCGCAATTGAGAGACTGAAGCAACTCCCATAGCTGCGGCGAAACAGAATGCTATTGGGATCAGTAACTCTCTGTAGCGATTGCCTCATCCTAACTTCCACTTCTTGTACTTTCTGTGAGTAGCCTTATAAGCGTCACTGCGCAACTTGAGCTGGTTAAAGAAAAAAAAAGGCGGAGAAGACGCATCATAAAACTGCTTGCAGAGTCAGACTGTGGAAAAGAAAGAAAAACAGTTCTCACCATTTACACATGGTGCGAGAACGAAACAATGGAAGAAGAGAAAGGGGAGAGGGGAGAAGACAAAAATGTTTATTTAACGAGCCACGTAATGGACCTTGTCGTGCGCCCGCTGACCGCTACAGAGACGGTGCGTTGATACCCTGAGTGAAGAAGGTGGCAGAGATGATGGCGGTGATGACCAGCGTGAACACCCACCCAGCGTACATCTTCAGCACCATCATCCAACGGATGTTGAGGAAGCTCACGTCCACCACGCTGATTCCGACAACACCACCGGTGATGCAGTGTGTGGAGGAGACGGGAATGCCGTAGCCAGAGGCAAACGACACCACCAACGCCGCCGACAGCTCCGCCGAGAAGCCGCGGCTCGGTGTGATGACGGTGAGGTCCTCACCCAGCAGGCGCATCAGGCGCATGCCAAACGTGGCCAGGCCCACCACGATGCCCGCACCACCGAGGCACAACACCCAAATCGGCACAGAGGTGTTCTTCGAAACGTCGCTGCTCTGGTACACCTGGTAGATGGCGGCAAGCGGGCCCACCGCGTTACTGACATCACTGGCGCCGTGTGCAAACGAGGCGCAGATGGCGGTGAAGACCTGCAAGTAGCGAAACACACGCTCGGCGCGCGAGTCGTACACCTGCACCTCGAGCCCGCTCGCACCGGTGATGCGGTTCTCCTGCGGCGCCTCCGCGTCCGAGGACTCCGACTCGGTCACGACATCGCCCGTCACCTCCTTCGGCTTGGGAGCCTCCTCCAACGCAGTCGGCTCGCGCTTAAGTCCATCCTCAATGTTGTTCTCAGCGCCGTTCGGCTGCTCTGATGCCGCCGCAAGCGCGCGTGCCTCGTCACGTGCCACCAGGCGCTTCAAGAGAGGAATGAAGGCACAGGAGATCAGACCCGCGCAGCCACCGATGCACGCGGCGACGCAGGCGGCCTTGTCGACCGACCAGTGGAGACGCTTTGACGCACCTTTGTAGAGGACGAAGAAGGACTCCAGGAAAAACGCGACGGCGACAATGATGGGCAGGGTATACATGGCACGCTTCGCCGCATTCGCAGGGCGGAGCACAAAGAAGCGTACGGTGCCGTACACGAGAGCAGACACCGCACCAGTGAGCAGAGGCGAAATGAACCACGACGCAATAATCGGCGCAACACCGCTGACAAACGGGAAGTCGTCCTTCCTCGCGGCCCAGTTTACCGCGTCTCCACCACCGAAGACGAGCGCAAAGCCGAGCACACCACCGCAGATGCTGTGCGTCGACGACACGGGGAGGCGCAGCCAGGTGGCGACGGCAAGCCAGCAGAAGGCCGCCCCACACGCGCAGAGCATGCCGTACATGAAAACGTAAGGCTTGCCCTTAAAGTCGCCGGGATTAGCGATGCCGCCCGAAATCGTGGAGGTCACCTCGCCGCCAAGCGAGACGGAGCCAGCAAACTCGCAAATTGAGGCGAGAATAACAATCTGAGAGAAGGTGAGAATCCTGGCGCCGTAGGTGGTGCCGAAAGCGTTCGCCAAGTCGTTCATCCCGACGCCGGCGCCGGTGAGAAACGACACGAAGGCGCCGACGACCACAATCCACAGGTAGGGGTTGATGTCTGCCATTGTTCTGTATTTGCAGATGCTGTTCGTATGTAATGAATTGACAGGTACAGACCTTTTTATGATCAATGTGAAAGGAAAGAAAAAAACTTGATGCTGTATATGCAGTTTTTTTTTCTTTTAGCGCGGGTTGTGTAAGCTCAAAGAAATAGGAAATAAACGTGTCCTTCGGAAACACTAACAAGGAATACCGTGTTGTTATTCCGATAAAAGAAGAGTTTACGGAGGAAGCGTGGATTTGGATGGGCGACAGGCTGTCGAAAGAAAATCCTGTTTGCAAGCTGCATGCGTTGCGTCACCGTCTCTCTGCATCTTTTAGGGCCACGCGAAATTTTGTGAAGTTGTCACCTAGAGACACGGTTTAACCACAGAGCGCACGTTGTCAAACGGCAGCGCCACTGTTGGATACTGCAACCGCAACTAGCTTCCTTCACGTTAAGCAGCTGAAAATGAGTATTTAAGGTATAAATAATATTTAAAAAAAAACGATTGTATATAACGCGAAAGTTCTCATTTTCAGCCTCATCTGCCGTACGGTTTCGTCCGTCCCCGTGTGGGGTACACATGGAAAGAAACTCGCAACCTTCAAAAGGTTGGAGCCTCGTAGCCACGTCGTCGTAATTTACGAAAAGTAGTTAGATTTGTTGAACCCAAGGACAACGAACACTTTTCCATTCCGGAGGAATATATATATGCACTAATTTGCGTTCGATAATGTCTCATTTGGAGATCCGCGGCTTATGCACGCCAATATTTCTTTTATTGAATAGTGGCACTCACGCAATTTCGAAACAGAATACCCACCTGAACAAAAGCAATGGGCATTTGGCTAATGCGAAATGAAATAAACGAACATAATTTTTTAAAATAGTAAATAAATGCATAACAGAAGGATGCAACACTGATCAAACTGGTGTGCCTCGGAAAGAATCTTATACTGTGTTGAATAGTTTTCACTATATAAAAAATAGACAACGTGCTGTTTACTCGAAACAACGCAGTAATTAATATAAGATCAATCATACAGAGGTATGGCAGAAATTGACTTAAGGAGCACTGCAGGAAGAATAACCTACGCCTTACAGACCATCACCTACCAGAAAGGGCACAGACCTATGCCTCACCATAAACATAAAAGTGTCGTTCTCAGTACATACAAAACACTGTAATTATCAGCAAATAAATATATCCAAATTCCAACACAAAACAATTTATTTAACAGATTTTACGAAGTGGGTAGCCTGCCTTCCGCTTTCCCGCTAGGTGGGCGGGGAGTTCAGGGTTGGGTGAATGGGGAAAAAACTATGAACTGCGAAATTCTAGCAGCTGATAATGAAAGAGAAAAGAAAGAGAGGAAAGGAGAAAAAGAGATAGGATAAATAATTCTCAGGCTAGGTCCTTCCATTCGTGAGCTCCGAGAAAAAAAAAACAATGCATCCAATGGAGTCTATCGAACGGATACCTTGCATTCCTAAGACTCCTTCGAAGCAGTTGTACGATTTGTGTTAAAAGACACAAAGAAGCAGATGGGAAAGAAAAAGAATATAAGAGACAACAGAAAAAAAAAGAAAGACGAGAAGAAATTAATAAAGAATGACAGTTTACTGTCGCGTAGGCAAAACACCTTTGCGAACACAAATGACAAAACTGACGCTATTTTTAAGCCGGCCGAGTTACCATTGTGAATTGGGAAAGCAAAAACAATTAGAAAAAAACGACTGGTTTCTTTTCGCTCTACTTGGCGATGTCGTCAGAACCGAAAGTAGAAAACAATTAATATGAAGACACCGAAAAAAAAAAACCTATTATGTGCAGTGAGTAAATTTCAAAAAAGAAAAGTGTACTTTTCGTGCCGTTTTCTCAGTCGAGACAACTTCACCCGCAGCTGTACAGGATGTGGTCCCGTTTGTGGGACACGTTAACGACGTCGGCTATGTGAGTCTTCAGCACGCGGCGCACCTCCTCGTAGATCTCGCACGAAATGAACTTTACACCATCACGGGGCGAGTGGTGCAGCAAATTGAGCTGCGAGAGACGGAGCAGATGTTGTGGCCCAGTACCTTCTTCTGGCACAGCGGCTGCCTTTGGCATCAGCGTAGCGCTTTCCCTTTGTCATTCTTGCTGTGTGGAAAGAGGTGCAGAGTGTACTCATGATTCCTTTCAATTTGTATGTGTTGAGTAACGTTAAGCGCAAAGCTCTCACCAAGAAAACCCTGAAATCCATGCAAAAGATGAAAAAAGTAAACAAATCAATGACACAAAAATGAAGCAAATCACGACTGTTGACCGCATTTGCTTCCGAGCGTTTGTACGAACTAGTGCTCTGTTGTTGTTTTTTAACTGCTGAAGTAGGAACTTTATTGCACAAGTGTTAATTTGAGGCAGGAATACATTACATACTGTCCGCAGTTACCAATCTGCTGTGTGTGACAACACTGCCAAGCGCAAAATAATAACAACTATACGTTTTTGGAGCTCACTCAATGGAAAACTACAAGGGAACCACACATTCAACAGTGGCATAGTGGATTTGGTCTGGCAAATAGGAAAACTGTTTTGGTTCTCTCACCGCGGTGTGCTGCAGGCGTGTAGAGTCGAAATACCTTCGCAGGAAAACGCCGTTATGGGCGGCGAGCGTTCGGTATTTTCTTCCTCTTTCTTCCCTCCCCCCTCCCCCCCTGCTATTCCCCGCTCTCTCTATTAATCAGGCCGTACTGGTCCTCGTCGCATTGAAGCAGTTGAAACTGTTTTGCAGCGATAGGCGCTGACGGGAGGAAAACTTCTGGAGGACGAGCTTCGGCGTCTGCCAAAATGACAAAAACGCGAGTAGCGAGGTTGGGGACCACAGAAAGCGCTGCAACTTTTTAAGTGTCTTTCTCTGCTCTTGGAGGACTTGTTTCTTCCGTTTTCCTGTCTTCTTGTTTGCTCTAAGGCGCCAAGCGCTCATTGATACGAAACACGAGAGGGTTTTACTAGTAATATCCGCACTAAAAAACGTGTTCTGCGAGAAAGTGATCCTTGCATGATAATAATTGCTTTTCTTTTTTTTTTGAAACCGTCGATTAAGTCTGGAATAATAATGAAGGGAACTAAACTTTGGAACCTGAACTAAAAGGATGTTCGCTATCGTTGAGCATACACGACGTGAAACTCAAAAGTGATGTTGGTCTGGAGTTTGTATGGCGCTCGTCTTCTCGGCAGTATGAATTGCGCGTAGGGGATATCGCTTCTGCGTTTGCTTTTCATCGCTGCAATGTGCCCAACTGTTTACTCGTTCTTTCTCACCTGCTTTTACAAACCATCTGTGTTGATTCAGCTTTGTTTCTCGTCGTCTCCCTATTGACATCGTGACAAAATAATTGACTGCACGTACTCTAACCACTGCTCGATCGCTTTTTACTGACTGAAGTAAAATGCTAATATGCGCTCGTTTGCAAAACGCGGTCTCCAGCCAATTCTAGCTAGAACGCTGACACTGCGTCCTGAAGCGACTGTCGACCCGGTGCGATACCCTCTTGGGTACGTACCGATTGACGGCACGGAATCTACTGACTCATTATACGCGTTACTGAAACGAGGATACTTTGTAGCTCCACTGAATCGAATTGAGTGCATTCACAGGACAAGCATCGGCGTTCGAGCGCTCTGCAGATCAGAGTACCCTGTCGTTTCAGCACAAGATGTCCTTACTTTGCATTCGAGGGAGAAGGAACTGTTAAGCAGGCTGCTTATTAGACGCGATTTTTGGACGCTCGATGACTTCAACGACCCCGAGCTGAATCAGAGTTTCGGCATTCAAAATTTGTATTTCGATAATTACAAATGGTCGCAAGTGCTTTGGAAACGATTCCAAGCCTTTGCAGAAGAGTACTTTCCACTTTCGGAGCACACGCATTTGCTCTATAGTGAGTATATGCAGCTTATTCGCAGCTTTTCTGCTTTTGAACAGGGTGTCGTTGTGAAGCCTGCGTTGTCCAAATCTGTTCGTTTGCATCCACCTTACGGTGCTGTTACTCCTACCAATTTTTCTTTGGAACCTATACTGCTGCTTAAAAACTGGCTTCTGAATTTCAAGGGGCCGCTTATGGTAAACAAGGCGCTGGTTCCCAACTCTGGCTCTGGGGTAACGGCGTTTGCGATAAGAGCGTGCAACGTGCCGATGGTGCGCGGCCTCGACTCACGACCCAGATTTGTTGCGGCAAGTCGCAAGGACGCCGCCCGCTATCCGCAAATGAGAGGCGTGAGCTTCCAAGTTGCGGAGCTGCTGCCGCCGGTTGGCGAAGATGCGACGGAAGACAAGCGGAAAGGCAAATACGACTTGATTGCGTATTATCCCGATGAAGAAATTGTTTCATCTCTTTTTGCCGGCGAGAGCGACCAATTTGCACCAACAGCGCAGGGGCTTGCTGGCAAACTGGAAGAATTTTTCGAGAGCGTCGCACCGCACATGACGGAGAACGGAATCATTGCCGTCTGCTGTACGAATATTCACTCGCTTCTGTTCCCAGCGGCGCCGCATCCTGTGGAATACGAGATCAAAATTAACCGACGCTTTGTTGTGTTGGACTACTACGACACACCAGCTCGTTTTTCGGGCAACATCCGCACGAAGTTTCTTGATCCCGTCATCGAATGCAAGCCTGATTTGAAACGCAAACTGCGTTCTGAGCTGTGGGTTTTGCACAAAGTGGAGTCTATTAGTCATTACGGGTTTATCCATGGCATTCCGGGAGCGAAACCTCCCAATATGGAGAGATGGCGGACAAAGCAAATGGGTCTGGAGCGTCAAAAGGCATTGAAAAACCATGTCCGCCTTATGGGTGGCGACTGGGGCAATTACAAAAGTCGCTTTGTTCAGATGCTGCAGGAGCAAACGGACGAGCCCGAAGACGATGTGGCTGAATCGATTCGAATGGCGTTTGACCCAACGTATCCGGTGAAACTAGCGGAGCAAGCGAGAATTGCTGCGGAGACGAAGGCGCAGGAGAGAGATGCTTTTCATCGTTCAGTGGCGCTTGAATATCAAGATGTTTCTCCAAGGCATGCGTTTGAAAAGAAAAACCATTGGTAGGGAATAGGGCTATTGGCTTTCTTTTATTAAGGTGACATTTCTGCCTTTTTGTGTGTGCATGTTTGGTATTTTTTTCCCCTCTTGCTAATTCTAAATACATTGCAGAAAGAGGCAGTGCTATTCACGTTATAACAACCTATTTTGATTCTACTTATTGCAACACAAAAGCAAGAATTATTTTAGCAGAATTATAATAACGTTGCGCTGAAATGATATAAAGACATCCGTCGCTGGATCTCTTTTAGAGTTGAGTACTATTATTGCTGGTAATGCTACATTTTCGCTTTTTCCACAGGGTGGAGAGAGGGAAAAGTTGCTTTCTACCGAACACAGAAACTGACCTTTCAGGGAATTTGTAGCATCATTTCCGTGCTGATGACCGAAACTGTGCGCTTCGATATATCGTTGTAACACTTTTATTTCTCTCTGGTTTTGATGTATCTCCTTGTTTTCTCCTTAAAAAAAAATAATAACTGAACCAAAACATGCACTCACATCCGTTTGTTGCGGGCTTTTGTGTTTGTTCGTTTCCTTCTACTTCTATACTTCCTCAATGATAAGTGAGTTTCAGTGTTACGCATTCACTGACATCTCGTCACAGGATACTTTTGTCGAGGAGTAGCGTTTTACGGCTGCTTGCTAGAGTACTTTACACACACACACACACAAAGAATAAAACAGTCTTCAACTACCATAGATCAGTACTGTAGGCACAGTGGCTGCTTTTTTTTTCTACTTTTATTAGTAGCGGCTACGGTGTTAGTCAGGTAGTGTAAACACACATTGCTTTCAAAACTATTTATTGTATCGACATGGAGGTGGTGGAAGAGTTTCTGCGGCTACGCAGGGGAGGCAAGGGCGAGGATGCCTATGCTCTGCTGGCACCTGGCGCCTCTATGGGATGTCCGTGGGGTGGGATGCATCACGGACAGCGCATTCACGACCTTCTAGTTGACGAGTCCCACTTTGTCAAGAAAGGTTATTTAGATCCTGTTCCGATTGAAAAAATTGACGAAGGGACGTATCAGCGGAAGTTCCAGTGGGACAGAGGAATGGGTGAGTATGGCAACAGCGGTTTTTCTCACGTGGGCATTCTTCCGATGTGGAGGGAACTGTATTTTGTGCGCGACGGTAAAATTCAGCTTGTGACTGCTGATAAGCAGCTGAAGAAGAAGTCTCTTGCGCACGCGCTCTTTGGCGTTTGAACTGGTTAGTCGCTACACGAACGCATTCAAAACATCCGCATACAACAATCGAGTGTGAGGTTTTCTCGTTCCTCTGCAATGGTCGAAACGTTTATCTATTCTTCGCAGCGGAGGTGTACATTCTTTTTCTTCTTTTGCCTTTTTTTTGTCTTTTAATGCTCAATAGCTTAGGAACAATTAGCTCATGTTATCATACGTATTTATGTAGGTGCGAGTTTGTTTTAACAAGTTAAACAGCGGTGTTTTGGCTTCAGAGGAGAAGTCAATTTTTGTTTTGCAGTCGCCAAAACACATACATGATCCACAGGAAAAGAAACAAAGGAATGCGCTGGCGCTATGAGTTGAAAGGTAGTTGTGGCTCTTCGACTGTATGGGGGATAGGTTGGATTGCCGTAGCAGTTCTTCGTGTGTTGGAGGAATTTCGTACCGCCAGCGATAGAGGTCTCTGTATTTATGCCCAGGGAACCATCTTATTCAAATCTTCATGTGCAAAGTTTTTTTTTTCCGTCTCTCTTTCTTTCGTTCCTTGTTCGTTGACGTTGATAGTCGATTTAAGAGAGGCAATGAAGCGTGAGCGCCAAGCTGATCAACAGGAAGCCGCTGTCGCTGCCTTAAGAAAAGGAGCCCAGGCTTTAAGCGTGTCGAGCAGCATTTCAACTAAGGATCTTGTTTGCAGGGAGGCTCACGCGAAGGCAATACAGAATTTCTTGGAGGATGGTAAGCATCACACAATGCAAATCTTCGGAATGCCAGGAACAGGCAAAACGGCAACCGTGAACTATGTGTTGGCACAGTTGGCAGCAAAGCACGGCACTAAGCCCACAGCCGTGTTCTTGAATGGATTTGTGGTTCAGAAAAGCTCTGACATTTACTACACTCTGAACCATCACCTCACCAAAGCGCGCCTCGGCACGGTGGAGCAGTGTCCTGCTGCGCAGTGTGCATCGAATATTGAGAAGCATTTCCGTCACGGCTGGGGCAACAAACCGCTGTCTCTCTGTGTCATCATCATCGACGAAGTCGACAAGATTCTTGAAAAGCATGCCAAGGGCCTGTTCAAAGTGGTGGATTGGCTGACCTTGCCGTACGCAAATTGCAAGCTGATCACTATCTCCAACAGCATGGACTTGCAATTAGATGCGAAAACGAAAAGCCGTCTCGGTGTGGTGAATCAACTCGTCTTCTCGTCCTATGGGATGCACGAACTACGGCAAATCTTGCTGCATCGAGTGGGCGGGATCGTGCCGAAGCTGTTTGCTGATCAAGCACTGAATCAGCTGTGCACGCAAACAGCCTCGCATTACGGTGATGTTCGCAGGCTTCTGCAGTCCGCGTCGGCGGCGATCTGCAGTGTCCTTATGAAAATCCAGGACGACGCTGTGGACCTGAGTTCCGTTGACGGCATTGTTTCGCTGCGCGAAATCCACGCGGTAGTGCGTCAAATCTTCCATGACAGGTTTGTCGAATTTATTACAACGCTGCGGAAGCCCGTGCTATTTATCACAGTTGCGGTGTTGGGGAAAGAAACAGAAGAGCTTTTCAAAAGAAGAGAGGTGGATTGCCGCTTGGCGGTAGAGCAGGTGCTGTTGATCACCCAGCAAGCCCAGCGAAAGTGCATGGGGGTGACCACGGCCATCACCCGAGTTGCGTTTCTTGCAGAGATCGAGCTGCTTCGCCAGGTGTCGTTGATAGACGTGTCCATGGGCGAGGATAGAATTCCCGTTCATTCTGCGGACGGGCTGCTTGAGTCTACTGAGGATGTGTACGTTTCCCTTTTGCAGCCTTATCAGATGGTTGTTGATGCTTGTAGATTGCACGACACATTCGGGGCAACTTATGGGGCAGCCCTCCACCTTTAAGATGAAGCGCATGCGAAGAGCCGTTTCATATAGTCGATTGGTTGCTTCCTTTTTCTGCTTTTCTTTCCTCGCTGATTCGTACTCATAGAAGCAAGTACGCATAGATCCGCACATCTGCGCTAAAAAAGAAGAAGAAGAAGAATGACTCGAAAGCAAATAAAGCAAAGCAACTGTACCAAGAGAATATGAACGCGGCAAGAGGCACACGCTTAACCTGTTACGATTATTCACGAATTTTTCCAAGCAACTTTTTTTCCTGGGATTTGGAAGCTCATCTTCTCCTTGGAATCTCTACAAAAATGGTGCATCCGGCTGACGTTTGTCATTTGCCCAGCGTTCAACTCCGGAACGCAAAGCACTTCGCTGTTTAAAGTGCGGTAGCTTCTTTCTTGTCAAGCCACCATTTCAAAAGCCATGATTTTTCTTATTTTCATTCTTCTTGTTGTTTTGGAACTCTTTTTTTCTCTCATATCTTTGCGAAGGTCGAGCAGATGCCACTTTCGCGGAAAGGCACCGCCTCGGGTTTCGCAGCTGCAGCGAAGGTGCTTTTCGACTCTGCGCAGCGTGTCGGCGCTGTGCAGCCGTTGGAGCAAAGCACCAAACAGTATGCACATCAGCTCAAAAAGATTCAATCGCAGAGCAAAAAGCGTGGAGGGTCGCTCGGCGGCGTGTCGTACAAAGTGGCTGAGTTTTTGGCTGCTCAGCGAACTCCGGTGCCTTACCCGCCGCCGCGCCCAAACGTGTCACTGGAGCGCACCATCGCAAAGAAAGTCCCACTTATCGACATTCCTCCTATACCACCCAAGGCGACTGTGACGGCAGTGAAGCACGTGCTTCCCTCAGAAACGAAAGCGGACAACGCGAAAACACATGTTCGCCCGTTAACGCCATCGCTTTCGTTCTTCACCGCGACACGCTCACCGGAAGCAGATGCTACCACTCGAGTTTCAAGTCTGCGATCTCCGGCGGTGGAAACGCCCAAGAGCGAGGTAGAAGCTGCACCGCATCTGGAGGAGGTGCTCATTGTGGAGGATAAGCCTCTTTTTGAGGTTTGTCAGCCAGCGATCACGCAACCGGCTCCGGCAGCTATTGTCCAGCCCATTATCACTGCAAAGCCAACAGGGACAGAGACGCCGGTGAAGCGCGCGCGACCGGTGAAGCGCGCAAGACCCGTGGTCAGCGTTCCCCTTGTTTCTGAAGCGCTCACGACAGACACGTTGCGCTCCCCCGAAGATCAGGCATCCTCCACCTTGACGACGTCACCTCCTTCGTTCTCCGTGGATGCGTGGGAGCAGCAGCGCGAGAAGGAGATGGAGCGCTTACAGAGAAAGCAAGACGAAGAGGAGCAGCTTCGCCTCGCCATGGTTCGGGAAAAGGAGCACCAGACGCTGGGGAAAATATGGGTGGAGCGGAGGACTGGCACGGATGCGTTCGAGGCGGAGCTCACGCCTGGAGGGAAGCTGCTGCGCGAAGTCTACTACGCGAAGTCCGTAGACACCGCCTTCGCTTTTTTTCAGAAAATGATAGACGCGGGAGCAAAGACAGCTGCTTTGCTGCCAGCAGGCATTTCGAGTGTTGCTTACCACATTAGAGAAGTCAACGCGGCGGAGCAGACGCGGCTCAAAGGGATTTTTCTCGAGATGGTGGCAAAAGCGAAGGTGGCGGACTCATTGAAGCGGAAAGCGATTCTGGCAGTTGCGAGCGGGTCTGACTTTCTAGCGGCCTACGATGCATTAACGCCTGCGGAAAAAAATGGCCTAGACACCTTTTTCATTGTCAAAGCTGTACGGGTGCTTTTGCTGGACGGGCGGTGGCAGGAGGCGCTTGCCTTCGCCAAGCAGAGCCGCAGTAACTTCCGCAGTGGAAGTGATATCGTGGACTTGGCGATGCTGCGAATGTGCCGTGGGCTCGAGGAAGGGCCCCGGAAAGAGGTGGTGGCGTATGCGGCGCAGAGTCTTGCAGAGCAGGGACGAATGGGCAAAACGGCGAAGCTTCTCATCGCGCGCACCGAAGCCGGTGTCTACCGTCGCACACTGCTGAAGCAAATTGCGGCGTCTTCGGACGTTGATGAAATCGTGTACGCGGAGCTCATCGTGCGCTCGAGCAAGGACCAAACGGATATTTTGCTGGCTGAGATGGCTGCACGGGGGCTTAACCCGGAGGACCCGGTTGTTCTAGGTGCGGTCGCGGTGAAGAAACTGGAGGACGAGAATCCAGCCGAAGTGTTCAAGGAGATCGACCGACAGGTCGCAAAGATTGGTATTCGTCCGACTCACGTTCTCGTAGCGACGAAAGTAGCAGCGCTGCATCCGACGGAGGAAGTGCTGCGACAGGCAAAGGCGGTGGTGTTGTCAGTCCCTGCGGTGAGCCGTGGTTTCGGCCTGCGTAAGCTCCTCCCTGTACTATATCAGCATGGCCTGTTAGACGACATCGTCGAAATGGCTGACAAGACAAACGAATCGGTGTCGATGGTGGACCTGTTGCCAAAGGCCGTCGCATTCGTGAACGAGGCGCTGCTGAAGGTGGGCCGACCTCCTCTTAGCGAGCTCCGTGCGGATGACATCGGGGCTGCCCACATCGCCGGTGGCGTGACAGCCACTGCCCCTGGTAAGGTGGACGAGCGCGCGGCGGCCGTCGCAGTCGACCTTTCCGGGCTCACGGAGAGGATGCTACTCTACGCGAAGGAGCGGCAGTGGTCGAAGGCACTGGAGACGGTGGTTAGTCTGCCTGCATCTATCAAGGCGGACGCATCCGCTGTGACGCTGGTGTACAACTGCGCGTTGAGCGCCGCAGTAGAGCGTCCGGAGACGGTGAAACAGGTGTACGCGCTCATGAGCACTCGCCGTATCAACGCGAATGCTACAACAGTGAACACGGTACTCAGCAGCTTGGGCAAGTCAGCCTCGTGGGAAGAGGCGTTGCGGTTCTTCGACAAGACACCTCAAGCTTGCAGAGACAACAACACCTATCTAGTCTACTTTGCCCTTTTAGGCAAGCACGGTTTGTGGAAGGAGTCTACTGCAGCGTACGACGAGATGCGGCAGGTAATCTCCAAGCCCCCCATCGCCATGTTCTCACTCGTCATCAGTACGGTCAGCGCACACGATTGGCAGACAACCTTGCGCGTGTTCCAGGACATGCTGAAAGTTCATGGTTCCTCCGTGAAAGACAGCGTGGTATCGCAAGTAATTCGCTGTCTTGAGCAGCACAAGAAGCCCGCGGAGATTGCAAAGCTGGAGAAGGAAATGGCAAAGCGCAAAAAGAAGAAGTAATACGCTGCCTTCGTGTTTCTTTTTTCATCATCATAGCCCTCGCGTTAAAATGAAACTTTTTTTCGGTCGCATCCACGTTTCAAAGCGATCTGCATCTCTTTTTTTTTCTTACCGCTCTAAAATGTCTTGATGGAGATAGTGCGTTTATAGTGTGCATCTTTCGTTTGTCGCGTCTTATTCTGCTGCGTTTTTGGTAGCTTGACTGAGTGTTCTCAAGAGCGATTTGAAGCTTTTTTTTGCCGTTGCAGGCGTGCAAAATGCTATCATTAAGATTCAAATTCAGCTCCACCAAATGCGAAGTGCTTTGGTCCGACACAATTCGCTCTGGTATTACGAAGGCACTTCTGTTATCTTCTCGTTGACGCGAAGGAAGAACACGACCATGTGCGTAGGAGCGCACACTTGTAGACTATGCCGTCATCTTTGTTGCGCTCCTCGTTCAACGATTTTTTTTTTCCAGTTCCTATTTCCATTTTTGGCAATTTTTCTCGTATGGCGGCATCGTTTTGATTCGCTAGTTCTTTCACGCCCACTCTGCTTTGGATAATTCTCTTTCCCTTTGTTTGCTCTCCTTTCTGCCGCCCATCGCTCTCCACTCATTATCTCCACACGGAAACAGAAAAGTGAACAACATCAGCAATACCTCCCACTTACAAACACAGCGAAACAAGCAAGCAAGGCCATCATCAAGAAGTGAGGCGAAGACTTCCTTTTATTGATTACCTGACTCGATATTTTCTGACCTTCTTGTTCTTTTCTTTCTTCACGATGCCGATTATTAAAAAAACATCGAAGAAAAAGACTGGCAGGGCGAAGGTTCTTGACCCTGTAGAGATGGAACGTCTTCGCGCTGCGGAGTCGGAGAAGCGGTGCCGTCAATTGATGCTCCTGCAAAGTCGACTTCGGGAGATCGTGCAGGAGGAGAAGGAGATGTCACGTGCCGTCATCGGCACGATTGAGGCGAGATGGATGAAATTCCTACGTGAGTGCAAGCAGCGGGAGCTAGTGGCGGACATTGAAATTATGCGTCGCACCTTTGAAGCAACGCTTGACCGCAAAGACGCCGCGTCCAAAGCGCTGTTTGAACAGCTAGACGTTGCGGAGGAGCAATGCCGCCACGCGTTCCGCTCTCACGTAGACGTTGTGAACTCGCTTCTGGAGCTGCACGCCGCGCGAACAAGCGAGCTCGAGGCTGAACTGGAAAGCAACGTGGTTGAGCTGAAACACGACTTCGAGCAGGAACGAACGGAGCTGGAGCTGAAGCACAGAATCGAGATAAGCGACCTGCGACTTATTTTGACCAACATGGCAGCTGAGGCAGAGATGCTGGACAAAAAACTGCAGGAGGAAACTTCCGAAAGCCGCGAAACAGCTGCTGAGAAGATGGAGGAGGAGAAACGACAGATGGAGGCGGACCTGAACAAGGTCGAGGAAGAATTGCGGACTGAGCTGGACTCTCGCTACAAGAACTTCATGTCTACAGCGCAGGCGAACATGAAGGAGTACACCGAGAAGTCAAAGGAGGACCAAGAAACGACGGAGCGGATTGCGGCGCAGCTCAAGAAGATTGAAAAACTGCAGAGCAACGTCTCATCGTGGCGCACCAACATCGCGCGTAACGCGAAAGAGTGGGAGGCACGCAACGCCTCCATCCAGGCAGAACGTGACGCCACACTTGCGCACCTGAAAAACCTCAAGGAAAAAATGCAGCGCTGGCGGCAGCGACAGGCGACCGCGCTGGTAGATCTGGTTAAGGAGGCGAACGCGACCGAGGAGGCTTTGCAGGCGACGACCAAACGAGCGCAGCGGCTTCTCCGCTTGGTGGAGTTGTGCAAGCCGTTGGAGACTTCCCGCGAGCATGTACTGTTGCACGAGGCAAACATTTCGACGGCAAACGTCGAGGCCGAAACTAAACGGCGGATGGCCGCGGAGGATGGCGCCGACGGCGCGGCAGGGGAATTGGAGAGCGCCGGCGCGGCGCCTCCAGCCAACGAGCAGTGGCAACTGATGGACCGCTTCTGGGTGAAGCACAACAAGGTTGTTCTCGACAACGCTGCTCTATCGCAAGAGCGGGTCTTGTTGGAGCAAGAGAACAGAGGTCTCCAGGAGGTGCTCAAACAGTACCTGAACGATGTCACCGTAAACGATGAAGTGATGCGGCAGAGCAACCCACTGCTGCGCACGCAGACTGTTGCCCCCAACGTAGTGCAAGCCGCCAACGCGCGTGGGGAGAGTCACGGGAACGGCTATAATGTTGTGGAGGCAAACAAGTTTGTTGCGGAGCAGACTCGACAAGGCGTTAGTCGTTAAACCGATAAACTTGTATTCCCCCCTTACACCCGTTTCTTCCTTTACTAGAATCGAGCATACGGTGAGTCGTATGGAGACGAACGTATTGTGCTGAAGTGCAGCACCGCCGTTGTGTTGTTGAACTTCTTCCAAGGACGTTGAGACCCTCTCGCCTTCCTCACGGAATGCGTTTCTGCCAGACCCTTTTTTTTGTTCTTTTACTGCTTGCCATTACTTTTGGCACCTGATGTACAATAATAAATACTGTATATATGTATTTGAATGACAAAGAAAAGGAGATCTTGACGACGGGAAAAAGGTTTTCTGCTTCTCGCTTTTATCTTTGCCTTTACAGACGCCTTTTTCAGTGGACATGTTCTATTTATGCTTTTACTTTTCGTTTTTCTCTGTTTTGGATGCGCGATGCACGATAATGAACAATATATATATATATATATATAGCTATTATAAACGCCTCGTTCACCTTTGCGGATGGGCAGCAACTATGTCTGCCTTTCCGATGTGCGATGAGGATGAGAACGTCAACTAACATTGGAGACATCGATATAGGCATTCCGCTAGAAGGATCCTTTTGAATGATCGAACTGACTTCCTTTCCTCTTTCGAGTGATCGTAACTGTGAAGAACAGTAAGCGGTCAAATCATACGATGAATTTCAATCAGCATGTTCTCTTTCTGGTCGTCTTCTGCACTAAATAATCTTCCGTTCTTTCTCGCCACCTTTGCTTTTGTTTGTTTGTTTCTTTTTTTTTCTCCGAACATCGTAGTTTAGTTCCTTCTCGACACGTCGTGCATTTCGAAAGGTACTCTTGGTTTTACTGTACGAGTGCTTGCGTTGTTCTCTTCTCCTCCCTTTGATCCCTTCCATTTCTTCTCTGCAGCGCGTTTTCTTTGCGTCACTACGCAGATGCGTCGCTTGGGGAAGTGTGCTTTCGCTCCACTCGCCCCTTGGGTGGCTCGTCGGCTTATGGAAACGGAGGAGCCTTGCTCGCCGGAGGGTATCCGCGAAATGATCCAGCGTGCCGAGAAAGCACAAGAGCAGCGCGAGATGGTTGTGGACCAGCGCAAAGTCATTTTCACCTCTGCTGCCAGCGGTGACCATCGCCCTCGTATCGCTGCTGCGGAGGCTTTTGACGTCGCCGCAGCGGGGTTACCACGCCCTCCCAACTTCTGCTACGTAAGCGTCTCCGTCGACTACGCGGGGATGGTGGACGCGCCGGAGGTTGTGTGGTTTAACATGTGCAAAGCGAATGGTGTTATGCCGTCCACGGTGAAGGCCGGCGCGCTGCACATGCTGGGAGGCATGGTGTGCCATCAGCGACTCGGTGGCGGCTACATTCAAGTAGTCCTCGGCTGCATTCCGGATCTTGAAGTTGACTCTTTTACCTTCGACGCGGTACCGCCTACGGAGGAGATCCACGCGTCTGGGCGGGCGCCACCCACGGCTGCTTTTGCCATGCTAGACACCGGGCTCACGCTGCAGTACGAGCAGGTGCTCTCCTCTCACCTCAACGCGCTAGGCAGCTCTCTCGGCAAAGGATGCCCGTTGGTTGGCGGGCTCTACCCTCCCGTAGGCGGCGTTAGCGGCAACACCACCGATGGGGCCGAGCAAGCAGGCAAGCTGGAGGACTCCATTTTCTTCATCAACGACCGAGTTTATCGTGGCAGTGCGGCAGCGGTGGTGCTGCGCAGCAAACTTTTAAAGGCGCACGCCGTCAGCGTTGTACCGTCCATTTCGATCGGCAACGCCACCATCACGCAGGTCTCCTGCGAAGGCCGCGTGGCAACAGTGAAGATGCTCGATGGCCGCCTCGCAACGGAGGTGATCAAGGACGCGTATTCTCTTTCGGAAATTGCGGACAAGCCCAGCAAAGTCTTTCTGGGCCTCCGGCACGGCGAGGTGCACGTGCCTGTGTCATTTGTCGGCCGTCCAGACTCCGGCGAGTTGCTCTTCTCTATCCCTCCTGGACTCTCTGTGCAGGACAATGACGTGATCGACCTCCTCGTCGATGACTCGGAGTTGGACACGGAGGTTGCGGCCAGCTTGCTGATTGGCATGGAGAAGTCCATCGCACCCGTTTCCGTCGAGAAGGACATCAACGTGGCGCGTGAAGCGCGGCGCAACATCGTCGCCTCCTCAACGGCTGCTTTCCACTTTTCACATGGCGGACTCAACACCGTGGCGAAGCCGGATGTGCCGGTGGTGAACCTCGGCAGTGGTGGTGTCATCTTTTCACCCACGATCCTGCAACGCTGCGTGGGGCGTAGCTGTCCCACCTCAGGCTTTTTCTGTCCTGGGCAGGTCGCCACCGTGCAGAATGTGACGTCCATCTTTGCTCGTTCCAGCACGTATTGCTTCCTCCAGGGCCTCGCATAAAGAATCTGAATAAGGTGCCATAGACAGTGGCCGTTATCGGGGAGAGAGGAAACCGATCACGGTGGCAGTGGTAGTCTTTTCCTTCACGAGATGTTTGCGTCTCGGGTCTTGACGCGCGTGCGTATCCGTGTCCGTGTGTGTGAGTCTGTGTGTAATTGTGCTGATGTGTCAGAACCCTCTCTCCCTTTTTTTGTTCGTCACAATCCGTCAAGTTCACAGAAAAGAGTAACATTTTAAGTTCCGCGGCGGCACACGGTTTACCGCGAAAACACAGGTTTTTTTTTTCTTCTTTCCGGGATGATCTATTCGGTCGCTCTCGCAACTTGTTGCGATACACCACAAAAACTCCTTCTTCGTGCATGAGCTCCTACCCATCTGATCGTGGAAAAAGTGAATTCTGTCTTCGTTTTCATTCTTGTCATCTTTTTCTCCCTTCTTCTCTTTTCCTTTTCCGTTGCTTTTATCAAGCGCCAGTGTTTTTCCTCTCATTTCTTTTCAAGATTCTTTGAAAGCTGCTCACTAACCTCCCACATCTGTCGTTTCGTGTTTGATTTAAACGTGCTCTCCCTCCCTTCGCACAATTTTTCCTTTTCCACTCCTTCTTCGTGTAAACGTCAGTGACACGAACTGAAGCATGATTGTGCTTGCCTTGGAAAGCTGAAAGAAGAACGTGCAACAAATGTCTTCTTCTGCGGACAACGAAGTGAAACGCACCGCGGAAGGAATTGCCACGGCGCTATGGTCTCCTGAGGAGCTCTACAACCTGGATACCCAGGTCGATGTGTTGCAGCCCGCACTAAAGTCGTTAGCTGTGGATAGCGGGCGCTTCTACGCGTATCGGTTGTCGCTGCTGCTCGCCCCTTTTGAGGTGCTGGAGGAGCTCTGGGCTCCTAACACGATGGAGAAGACGCGCCTGAAAGACGACGGGACGGTCAATATCCGCTGCGAAGAAACAAGGGTGGAGGGCAGAACAGATGGAAGTAACAGGGGCACAATTGCGGAGCAGTGCAAAGGCGGCAGCTTATTCCGCGTCTTCACCACTGTCGCCCATCGTGTCTTCGTCGTGGACAGGTCTGCGACGCACGTTCAAACGTTGGTGGCCGCATTGCGGTACTCTTTTCCGCAACTCCTCGTGCCGATCGAAAGTGAGCCGAGCGAGCCCATGTGCACACTCCTTTTTGAGTTTGTGACACAGCACTGGTCTGCGCTGTCCGCGTACTTGCCGTTGCTGTACTTTCTGTTTGAGGTTCAAGAACGGGCCTTCGGATCCTTTTACAAACAGCTGGCCTCCTTGGTCCAGACGCGCAAGGGAAATGATACGGCCGCTTCAGACGCGCTGAGGCCCAAAAAGGGTGGGAAGATCTTTTCCTGGTTTTCGTCGAAGCCGAAGGAGGCTGAACTTGGGGTGAACGACAAGCTAGAGTTGGTCAACGTCCATAAAGCGACACTTCCTCTCCGTTTCGAAAAGCGCTTCATGGTTGCACTCGCAAAGCAAGAGCAGATGCACAAAATGCAGCTTTTCTGCCGAGACTTCGTCGCGTCTTTGCAGGATGAGGCGTCCACGTATCAAAGCGTTGCGGAGTGTTTCACGACCTCACCGATGGCCTCGGAAGCCGTTTCGGGGTGGTACAACCAGGACTTACTGGAGAAAGCCACAAAAGACAACACCGAATTGAGGCTCATGAACACTTCGGTGCAGCGCTTTGCGTTTCGTAAGAGCTCCCTCACCAACGAGCTCCTGTTGCCGTTGCTGCAAGAGATCGCCCAGGTGGAGGGCGAGATTGGGATCCTAGCGTCGTCGCACGTCGCTTACTATGAGGAGGTGCTGATGCGCACCAAGACGGTCACCGAGAACACGGAGCTCATGTCGGGTAAAGTTCCACTGCCGCAGAGCTGTGAGGCTTCTACGCGGCCCGAGAGCATGGCAAATGCCAGAGAGGTCAACCGACGGCAAACGCAGGAGCTTGCTCAGTGTCGCGCCAGTTTCGACGGCGAAGTGACTGCGGTAGAGAGCGCTATGAAGGCGAGGGTGAAGAAACTGTGCGTCCTTGTTGCCGGCATGCTAAAGGCGCTGGCCGCCTGCACAGAAGCTGGGCACTTCGACGATTACCTGCGCGGTCTCGTGCCGCCGCCATCGGGGGAACTGCCTTTGCAAGGCGGCAGACACCCTCTAAAGGCCTGCTTGGGCATTGAGGACGGCGAGAAGGAATCGGCATTTGCTGTTGATCGAGCAGGGCCGTAAAACTGGCAGTGTAGAATTTGTGTGTCAGCTCCTTGCTAATGCCTTGATAAGAGAATCTTATACCCAGAGTTTCTCGAGGCAAAAACGAAAAGGCGACCATACGAGTTGAAAGGTGTGCGACTCTACGGGGAGCTTAAACGACTCAGCTGAATGTATGTGATGGTGGCCGAACTTTGAAGGAGCCAACGTCTTCCAAATCAGTAGTATGAAAAGAAAGGCAGAGCAGGAACTGGCGTTCGCACCCACCGCTATCAATGAATGGACAGAAAAGCGTACAGCTCAGCTTTCTGTCACAATTCATCCACATTATATACGCGAGCCTAACTCATGAAGGCCTTTTTTTTTTCTGTCGCTACACGATACTTATATGGAGTAAAAAGTATTTTTCTTCAGTCAATCTTTTCCTGGCCTTTTCCCCCGGCGCTCTTTACCCTTTCGCAACTCGTGGCTGATTCTTCCACTTCGGCGTGCGCTCAATTTTGTGCGAATAAAAAGGAAACTCCTTAGGGCCCTCGCAGCACTTATATGATCTCAACTTGCTTTCATGTAGATTCATCCAAAGAAGGAAAAGGAAGACGCATAATCAGGAATGAGCCAAGACCCCTCACTCGTAGAGTCTCCCCCTGATGTGAGCGGCGACGCAGGTCAGTTACGCACCGTACCCCTCTTGCTTCCCTCGCAATTGTTTTTAGAGGCTTTGAGCTGCGGAGATGCACGTAGAATACGCCAAGAGCTCGTAGGGTGCCCCTACACAAAGTGCACCTGGTGTGATTCCGATAAGAACACACTGCTGCATTACGCGGCCGCTTTAGACGCGCCTGAGTGCTTAATAGAACTCCTGCAGTCACGGGTCGACTTCACCTTCTCGCGGAACGCACAGGGTCAGACGCCCCTCCACGTCGCTTCACGGTGTGCTCGTACCATCATTTTCGTTCTGCTGCTGGTGACCAAGTACGGCGCGACAACGGCGCTGGACAATCAAGGAAACACTTTTGTGCACATCCTGCTTGCCAACACGCTGATCCAGGAAGATCAACTCGTGCTCGTCATGGAGTCGCTGTTGGCGCGGAGCAGCGTTGCAAACCTTGTCAATGCCGCTAACGGCGACGGCTGCACCTTGTACGATGTTGCTTTCCGGTGGCATCGGAGGAACGCGTCTCTGCTCCAGCTGCTAATGCGTCACGACGCTGTTTCCGGCGCTTTGCTCATCAACGACGAAGTAGAAACGATCACTGCGGCGGAGAGGGAAGAGCGCGAGGAAGTGCAGATGCAGCAAGAACATGCATATGCGCAAATAGACATTGCTGCGCAGGCACATGGCGAGATGATTCGCAGCCACCGGCACCAGCGCAGAAAGCTGGCGGAAAAGGAGAAAAGAAAACGATCTGCTTTGCTCGACAAGGAAAGCGTGGCCGCTCAAAATTTGTGGAAGAAAGCAGCAGATGACTGCCGACGGGTTGCTGAACGGCAGGCTGCAGAGGAGCACAGCGCGCTAATTCTGCAGCGCATTGGCACCGGTTTTGCGTCTCGGCGCGCGCTTTATCGTTTGACGGTGCAACGCCGAGAAGAATGCGCCGCAGCTCAGAAAGACACCGCACGACCAACAGCAGCAGAACAAGATGAAGCCGTGCGGATCGCCTTTACGCGACACGTGGAGGCAGCGAGGGAAAGTGCAGCGGAGCAAGAGGCAGTGCCAATAAGAACTGCTGCGGAGCGGGAAGCGCAAAATATGAGGAAGGGCGACGTGAATGCGCCACAAAATCGCTTCAAGACGGAGGGTAGAAAAGAAAGTGAGGCCGCAGAGCCGTGCCATTCGGCGTCGTCCTCAGGAGCTGTTGCGCTTCAGATTTCACAGCTTCCAGAAAAGCTTCTTGTGTATATCCAATCTGTGGTGCGCATGCGCAGGCAGAGACGCATGTTCATTCAGCTGCGAAGGCGCATCGTGCAGATTCAGCGCGCTTGGCGGTGGCATCACGCACAAGTTCTTCAGCGCCTTCAGAAAGCAGCCGACACGCTGTTGGGTGAGTTGCGCCGGTACGAGTTACGCGAGGCTCGAAGCACCTACGTAGAGTGGCACACTGTAGCTCGCATCAAGGCCATGCTGCGTGAGATCACACGTCTTGTAACCAAGCTGGTGTGGCGAGAGAACTTCTGCAGTGCGTTCCGGGATATTGTGTTCCTGCAACGACGGCGTGCCATTGTGCCGCCGACCCGTCTTTCACGTTTTCAGCGCCTTCAGCTACTGTCTCGAAAAGTGGAGCCGTTCGTGCTCTTAGCGCAGGTGGTCGTGAGTGTTTTCTTACTCGTTTACATGGGCTGCATTCCGCGCACCAGTGTCACGAAGGTGCACAACAAGGTGGACATCGCCTTTATTTGTGTGCAAATCGTTATCTCGTGCTGTCTGCCGCTGTGCTGGTGGCGCATCTGGGACTTTGCGGTGGAGGCGACCGCGCTGGTGTGCGCCGCGGCAAGCCACTACGGCGGCGCCATCGTCATTACTTTCTTTGTGTTGAAAATCCCTTTTGTTGCCCGAACTTTCGCGCCGCGTCACTCCGGCACACGCACGTACTGTCGCGCCATCGAGTACTCTACGGTGTACCTGTTGATGTTTCTACCTTTCGGCATCGCCGGCATCGGTGCTACGGTGCGCGGGACCACCCTCAACCGCCAACTTCTCACCAGTCAAGGTAATTGGGGCAGTGTGCTGCTCTACCTCTTGAGCACCGTCAGCCCGCAGTACACGGTGATGCTGTTGCTGACAGCGGGCCTGGCGCAGAACTCGGACTATGAGTTCTTGATGCCGTTGCGCCTGCAGGTGAGTGAGTTTAAACTGGCAAACGGCGAAGAGTTACTGCGGTTCCGCATGCCCCTCGTGCAGCTCGTCTTCTTTCAGGCAGTGCTGCTCCTTTACACGTGGACAGCGGTGGCTGTGGGGATGCACAACGCCATCCACCACCATTACGACCTCAGCGACGAGACGAAGCTCAAGCTCAACAAGAACCGCTTCCGCAACGAGGGAAAGGAGGAGCTCTTCGACGCCCACCGGGCCGCCAACATTGAGGCGCTGGGGCAGCAGCTGGATGGTGTCATGTGGGAGGACGACGTGCGGGCCGCCAAGGAAGCGGTAGACGCGTCGCACTACGACCACAACACCAACTTTACTGTCCACCGCTTCGTCCGCCGCGTCCAGGACACCCTCGGCAACTCCAACAACACCGCACCGAACGGCCAGGGGCGCCTGTATATGAAGTCGGTTCAGCGGGTGAACGTGAAGCCGAAGTGGGACTGCCGCAACGAGGACCCGCAGTCGCGTGGCAGCTACGACATCGAGGTGATTGAGACGGCCCTCGGCATGGTGGAGCAGCGCAGCTTTGGGGAGCGAATTGTGAAGCGGCAGTGGACTGGGGCGCTGCTGCGAAAGGAGATGAATCTCGTGATTTGCGGGATGCTCGTGATGGCGTCGGTGAAGCCAAATTTGTACGCGATGGAGGCGGCGTTTAGCGCCGTCTTTGCCGTGGAGCTCTTGGCGTCGCTGTACTTTCTCCGAATCGAATTCATCTTCTCTCACTACGTTCGCCTTGTCCTCCGTATTTTCTGTGTCGTCGTCGGTTTTGTCCCGCAAGCCGTGCCGTTCGTCGCTTTCCGCTGCCTGCGTCTCGTAGAGGGGTGGTCCCTGCTCTTCAGCATTCCTGGGATGGTGCGATGGGCTCTGGTGTATATCGTCATTTCCTTTGTAACCATTTGGATGATCGCGTATGTGGCGGCGCTGCAGATGCTGTCGCTGTCGCAGGTGAGCGCGCACCGGTCTATTTGCAGCAGCAGGGGCGAGTGCTTGGCCGTCTCCATTCGAGAGCTCGTCCTGCCAGCCTTCACGCCCGAGCACATCGCCCCCGCAGTGGAGACCCCTGTGATAGCGATGCTCGTCTTCTTCACGCATTTCTGCTTCATTCCGTTTGTACTGGCCATCGTCCTGCACCCGCTGCTGCGACTGTCCAACTTCATCGGTCGTTTTCTCCGTCTGGTGGTGCAGAGTCTCCACAAGGACGTGGTGGACTATCTGGAGAACTATCTGGAAGGCGCCTCCTGGTACACACACTGGGGCCTCCGCTCCGACGTGTCTGTCGACATCATTGTACGACTGAAAATGTGGCTCAATGACCTGCGGCGGCGCCGCATCACGGTGCTGTGGCTGTCGGCGCAGAACAGTCTCATCACGAACTTTTGCATCCCCCAGAAAACTTTTGTGAAGGGGTACGAGGCGGCTCCGGAGGAGGAGGGGAATACGGTGCTGACGGAGATCATCTGCCGCGGCGAGTTTGCCACGTTCGAGGAGAACAGCGCGTTGGACGGGTCAAAGCAGCGCGCGGCGGCGCTGCTCCCTGTGCGGTTTGTCATCCGGAACGTCTACGTGCACTATGCAAACGTCGTCCTCACATTTGCGTCGATCGCGTTCCTCTGGGTGGCGGACGCCTCGCAGGAGCGGTGGGATGCGCGGGTGATCGTCTCCACCGTGATCCACGTGGTGAGCATCCTCGTGTCGCTCGCGGTTATCCCGCGTGACTCGACCGCCGTCATGACCTTGGTATCCGCCGCTGCGCTGCTCTCCGCTGTGGTGCTTATACTGATCCCCGGCCGACGCTATCGGGGGCACTACTGCCTCCGCTTCCTGTCGCTGCTGCGCGTCGGTCAGCTCCAGGTTTTCCCTTTCCGTGGAACAAGGCGGCTCGTGAAGATGTACATCGACTCTGCGGTGAAGATTCTCTTTCCCGTTGCGGCGATTGGCGGCGCGTCGTACATCGCGGAGCTGCTACGAGCGCAAGTCTTCATGGTGAAGTTCGATGCGCGGCCGTGGGAGTGGGTGAACTGGAGCGACACGACCGAAGTCGCTGCGCTGCGCGCTAATGTGTCCTACGAGGTATTTTTGGCTGCCATGCCGCGGCACCACGCGTCGCGGCCCAACGTGCAGCAAACCTCTGACCTTTTCTCAACGTACTTCCACGAGGACGCGTATATTTTCTACTCCATCTTCAGCTTCTGGGTGCTTCCGGCCATTTGCATCTCGACCTGCCTGTCCTACCTCTTCTGGGTTGGCGCGAACTTGCGTGACACGAACCTTCTCATGGTGAACATGATCCCTCTATGGGAGGACCCCATCACGACGGCCGGCTTCAGTTGGTACCAGTGGGTCTATCGCTACGTTGGGAACGTGGTACTGCTGGCGAGTCTGGTCTTTGGCTGCGTCTTCAGTCCCACCACCACCGCCACCAGCAACGACCTACACCTCTTCTTCGGTTTTGAGGTCGGCTTCACGCTGTGCGGACTCGCGGAGGCCATACTGTCAAGCTCGTTCGCGGTGCACCGCTGCGGCCGGTCGAGCGTGAGCTGGATGACGTGTGAGCAGCACGCCAAGCACTCGCGGGTTCTCTTCGGCGACTGCGTCTTTTTGCTGTGTGAGATCATTCAGCTCCTTTACTACTGCATCGCCATCGCCCTCTGCACCACACTGCTCGTGGAGCACGACGGCTGCCTCGTCTCCCCTGGCGAGTACGCGACGTACTTCATCACGCTCCGCTTCGTCTTCTTACTGCGCATGCTGAGCCGTGAGTTGTTGCTTTCGCTGCTGAGGCGGGTCCTTTCCATGGGATTCGGTCTGGCGGGCATCGTCGTCTTCTTTGTCGGCTCGGCCAGCGCGCTGGCAGATGCGTACACCGCCGCGACGCAGGTGCCCTTCACCGCCGCCACGTGGCGTGCCGCCTTTGATACGATACTCCGCCTCACCTTCACCTCGGCCATCCCGTCGCACTTCGACAGGCACTGGGTGCCCTTCAACGCGACCGCCGCTGCGCTGGCGATGCAAAACAACTCCGTGGTGATTTACGTCGTCGATCAGAACTTTACCGCGTCGCGATTGGCCTTCGTGCTGTCCGCCTTCGGGAAGGCCATCCTCTCTAGCATCGCCGGCCTCGTCATCGGCTCCGTCGCCGTGCCGGTGCGGTCGTACTTCCTCCAGCCTTTGCCCGCAAAGAGTTTGTTACTGTACCGCACCCTGTGCGGTGGGCTGCCGGAACTCGTGAAGTTCGGCATGCACAATCACGATGACATGCGGCCGCAGGCGCGGCGACGCATCCAGGCGCGCAAGTTTGCCCGCCTGTTCACCCCCCAGGGCATCCCGTCATGGGCGCTGCCGCATCTGCTCGAAGAGCTCGACATCTGCCGCCCTGTGCGCCAGCGACGCTTTATGTATGCGTTGGCGCGGCTGCTGGAGTACCTGCCGACTGCAGAGAAGCGTCACCGCCGCGTCCGTGAGTACATGCGCATGTGGGACACTTACCGCAGCGGTGGCCCCGCGCATCTCCTCTTCTCCGAGCTGCCCGTTTATCCTCCTGCGGCGATGGCCAACACGGCGCTCAATCCGTACGCTGCCGCTACTGCAGCTGTCGCCGGTGCAGCCCACAAAGACGCGCGGACGCCGCGCTACGTGGCGCCGTTGCGCCTTGTCCAGGCTCTCGCCATCTTTGAGCTCGGCTTCCCCGCGGACTCCTCCGTTGGGTCGAAACTGTGGATGGACTTCTTTTCTGTGGTGCAGAAGATGCGCGGGGCTACGCTGCTGCAGTCACTGTGGCGCATGTACAGAGAGGAGAAGGTATTCGACGCTGACCCGCTGCGCAACAGGTACGAGCGCGCGTTGATTGCGTACCTCCGCCGCAGCTTCCGCAAGCATCGGATACGCAGTAACATCCGCTTCCTCAGCTTCGCCACGTTCCAGGAAGCCATCAAGTACGAGCGCGAGAATTTCAATCCCAATACGGGACACTACGACGTAATAAATCGTCTGCGGGGGCACTTTAACAAGCTGCAAGCCTCGAACGATTTTTGGAAGCAGTGGCGCGCAGAGGAACTCAAGAAGGCGAGTCGAACGCAGCCTTGAGAGAGAAAAAGCGTCGCCACAACGAATGCGACACGAGCAGCTGCACAAACTTGTGCCTTTGGCGTGGCAGTCGCGAAGTTCTTTGTCCCCCGTAGTGCTTGGTCTAGCTCAGACATCATCATCATCTTGTAACTTTACAGTAGTGTATATCTATATACTTATGGAACAGCGGAGACTGCTCACGTTTTCGTCTTCCCTCTGTATGCGCTGTTCTGCTGAGCGAGACGTCTTGCGTTTTCCTCCTTTGCCTTTTCGCCTAGATCAGAGCCGCTTCTCTCAATCGATTCCGTTTCGCCTTCGCTTTACTCGTCTAGATTCATATGCTTGTCACCCTCTTTCCTTTTTTTTTTCTTTTGGCGGTCTTCCCGCTCAACAATGCGTGTGAAAAGGGAATAGCTACGGTAAGATCACACGACGTGGTGCTTGGATGCGTCGGATTCATAGCTCAGTGGTAGAGCATTCGGCTGCAGTCCGAATGGTCCCCGGTTCAAACCCGGGTGGGTCCTCACTTTTTCCTTCACGCCACGAAGCCGAAAGGGAGGGAAGCGCGAACCAGGAAAAAACCGACAGAGGAGGCGACGGTGCTCTTCACGCCGCGAAAACGGAAAACTGCCAGTGCAGTTGCACTCTTGGCACTCACGCTCGAATGACCACATCGATCACATTCACCATTTCTCTCTGCTGTCTGTCTCACACGTCACGCTCCTTTTTTTTTTCGCTTCTCTTTGCTTAGCACTGGAAACCGAAGAGAGCGCGCGGACATCGCGAAGCGGAAAAACGTTCTCTATTGAATTCTCCGATGTCCCTAAAGATGATCGAGTTCACCAAAATGCACAGCTCAGGGAACGACTACGTTTATGTCAATACAGTGAAGTACCCCCTCGCGAATCCCTCCGCGTTGTCCATTCAATGGAGCGCCGCCCACACGGGCATCGGGTCGGACGGTCTCGTGCTGATCGGTACATCTACGGTGGCCGATTTCAGCATGCGCATTTTCAACGCAGACGGCTCGAAGGAACTCATGTGCGGCAACGCGACGATCTGTGTCGGGAAGTACCTCCACGATAAGAAACTCACCACAAAGATCGCCGTCACGCTCGAGACGCTGCCCGGTGTAAAGCAGATTCAACTCCACGTGGGTGACAATGGAGAGGACACTGTCACCGTGAATATGGGCTATCCCTCCATCGAAAACCTCAACATGACCGTTGAATGCGGAACTCTCTGCGTTGTGGGTACTGCCGTCTCCATGGGCAACCCCCACTTTGTCGTGCTCGTGAATGATGTGGACGAGGTGGACCTGGGGCGTGTGGGGCCGTTGATTGAGCACCATCAACTCTTTGAGGACCGAACGAACGTTGAGGTTGCACACGTATGCGCCGATGACGCCATTCGCATGCGGGTCTGGGAACGAGGCTCCGGCATCACTCAAGGCTGCGGCAGCGGCGCCTGTGCGGCGGCGGTGGCGGCGATGGCGCACGGTTGCGTCTCTCGCTCCGTTAGCGTGCACATGTACGGCGGCACTGTGCGTGTCCGACGTGAACAGGGCGGCGCAGTCTGGATCACCGGCCTCGCGGTGAGTGTGTTTGACGGAACCATCTCCGTGTAGACGACAACTCTGTCGGGTTCCGTGGAAGCGTTCACTTTCCTAATGGGTCCCTCTGCAAATGCATGACAACAACGACCGCCTTTGTCTTGCTTTCGACAAACGCGCCGCATGCAGCAAGCGTAGTTCCTTTGTGTTAAAAAGGATAGTGAAACGGCGTTATTTCTTTTCCCTTTTAACGTTTCTTACCATTTCTGTCTTCCCCGCCTTGCTTTTGAATTAACCTCACATTTTCTTCGCGCTTTCCACGCACGGGCGTTCACTCGAGCGCTTACTGTTGTATCCCTTATCCGCATTAACGCAAACTCTGTGTTACCCTTCCCCTTTTATCGTTTCATGCACTTAAGAAAGAAAAAAGGTGTTAATAAGAAGAGTCGTACCAGTATTGAACTCTGAAGATGGGCAAAGCAGCTCTCTCTCGCATATTCTTTTTCATCTCCGCGGCTGTCCGCAGTTCTGATGAAATACGATGTTCGGCCAAACGAGGAAGGGAGGACAACACATCGTAGGGGTTGTACGAAACTCATATGGCAGAGGGGCTCTTTTTGCATCCCTCGCGCCTGCCGTGCAACTCGTTTTCATCTCAACGCATGTGACGCCTCAGCATGTATCCGCATCCCCATCTCATTTCTCTTCTTTTTTTCTTTCTTCCTCCTTGTATGCTGCGAACACTCCAGATCAGCTGTAGGTGTTGTGAACCTCTCAGTACGATTTGTAAATAAACCCGGTCGTTTGCCAACTATTCCTGTTTGGGCAGCGTCCACGTTAAGGTGTAGGTCGTGCTTAACTTCTTTGCTCCGATGCAGAAAGGTGTGTTGCATCTGCCCTTTCAGGTTTGCTTTGCGATCGTTACCCCTGTGTAGTGCGCACTCATACAAGTTGCTCTCTAACTGCCTCGATTCTTTTATTGAATACGCTAGCGACACGAAGGCAAGTCCCAACAACGTCACACAACCATCAAAAACAAAAACGTGAGGTGGTGACCGCCCTACTGTACGGCTTCGGGGTTGTAAGCGGCTCACAAACGGTAAGCGTTAAAGTTTGACTGAGTTATTTTTCCTCTGTTGTTTCCGTTTCTTTCTTTTCTGCATCAAAATCGTTTTTCCTCCCTTTCTACCAACAAATATCTTCCTCCTCTTTTTAGTTCTTGAAGCCTCAAAAATCCATTCCTTCTATAATTATTTGTTGTTGTTTGTGGTTTGCCGTCTTTTGCTTTTGGGTGGCATCTCCTTTTCCTCCCCTTTCTTTGCGTTTTGTGTTCGCCCAATCAAGCTCTCGTTGTATTGTAGCTCTCTTTGGCTTCTGGGTCAACTTGTCAGGTGCCCGCGCTTCGCCGTAAGGTCTCGCAACTGGTGCGAGATACACATACGGGGAAGAACCGTGTATTTTCTTTTCTCCCCACCTCCTTTTTTTTTCCTTTCTTGCTTTTCTCTGTTTCCCAGTGACATTCCAACCTAGTCATGGGAGGGGGAGTCTCGCGTGAGCGCCAACGCTCATCGTCTCGCAAGACACGCAGCCGCAACACTAAGCAGAGAACGTCTGTGCCGGAGTCTAGCACGTGCCCCACATCGCTGCCCACCTACAAGGCATTGAATGTGGTAGAGCACAATGACAGCCCCGTGATGGATAGCAATGGCAACTCGGCACCTGCTCTCACGCCCTCGCCTCACAGGCGGGAATACGACTCCTGGGATGTGGCGCCGTCGGATTCGGGAGCTGACGAGGAACAGCCGGCGGACGGCAGCATCGTGGAGGATGTGGTGCCTGCCGCCAACAACCAAACCGTGTTTCACGAGACGCTGACCAACGCCGCGATGCAGTTGCGAGCCCGCCAGCGCGAGGCAAACGTGGGCATCTCCAAGGCAGAGATGGAGGATCTGGTGCTGCTGACCCGCGAGCTGGAGAATCTGAAGCAGATCATGAAGCGTTCTCAGTTTACGGTGGAGGGCACATGGAACATCCTGGAGAAGGAGGGCATGCTGGAGCGCTTTGCGCAGCAACTCTACGATGAGCTGCTCACGCGCAACGCCCGTCTGCGCGTGTACTTCTACGGTGTGGATCTCGATGAGCAGTCCAAGTCTCTGGTGCGCATGATTGGCACGGCGGTCCACTTTTACGAGAAGCCGCAGGTAACGGTGGACATGTTCACCAAGGCCGGTGCGCGGCACCGTGGCTATGGCGTGAACGCCGAGGTCTTTGCGGAAATGCGCAATGCCTTCTTCAAGGTGTTTCCCAAGTTTGTCGGCACCGACGTCTTCAGTGCTGCGGAGGAGGAGTGGCAGAAGTTTTGGAAGCTCGTGCTGGACCTGTTGGAGCACGGCAGCGAAAGTCCCGAGGGCGAGCGTTACGCCAAGCTGCACGAGGAGCAGACGTTGAAGAAAATCCAGGCTGACTTCCAGCTGATCACCGAGCGACAGAGCAAGTGCGACACACGCCATCAGTTTGTCGGCACGATGTACGGCAAGGCCATTGAAATGTACGGTGACCTCTCCAACTTTGAGGCACTGAAGGATCTCCGCGCCAGTCGGCGGGTGTTCCAGTCCTACGTCGACCTCATGAACAACATCCACGACACGACCAGCTGCGAGCAGTTTTTGCGCGAGTTGGGTGGCCGCCACACGGCGTACAACGTGACGGTGGAGAACCTTCGCTCCTTCACCCAGCCGTTTCTCTTTGCTTGCCGACACTTCCTGCAAGACGAATGGAACGTCGCGGTGGAGTCACGCTTTCTGTGGCTGTTCGAGTACATGATTGACGGCATCTCATCGGGTATGGTGGATGGCATCAACAGTCTCGAGAACCAGCGCGCCCCTGGCAACAACGTCGCCTTCGGTCTTCTCTTCACCGATATCGAGGCCAGCACAAAGCTATGGAGCAAGGACTCTGAGAAGATGAGCCTGGCCGTCAAGAATCACCATGCCGTGATCCGACGGCTCATCGCCGACTTTGGCGCCTACGAGGTCAAGACGGTCGGCGACTCCTTCATTATTGCGGCCAAGGATGTGTTGGTGGCGATGAAGCTGGCGCTCGCCATGCAACTGGAGCTGATGCGTTCGATCCCCATTGCGCCGGGATTTAAGATGATCGAGAACACCGAGGGCCGCGGCGACCCGAAAGCGTGGGACGAGCGCACCTTGCGTGTGCGCATCGGCATTGAGTACTGCACCGATGCCACCGCGACCTACGACGGTATCCACCGCCGCTTTGACTACTACGGCCCGAGCGTGAATCGGTGTGCACGCATCGAGGCTGCCGCATGCGGTGGCCAAATTCTTATGTCGCGGCAGACCTTTGAGCAGCTCAAGTCGATCCCGGCCTTCCATGACGAACCCGCGCCGTATATCTTCCGTAGTGTCGCACTGCCCTCGCCACCCCCGAAGGTGGATAGCCGCGGGCTGGATCACTTCATCGCCGTGAACGACGTTGGCTTTGCGACGTTGAAGGGCATCGGCGAGCCGGTGCACCTCGTCTCCGTTGTGCCACGCTGCCTTGCTGGACGCCAGTTTATTGACAAGGTCTCGAAGAAAGCCTAAGAAAACGGGTTTTTGCTTTTCTACGTTTCTTGCGTTACAATTCCACGTTCCTTTTTTTTTTTGCTTCTGCTTAGACACGGGAGTGCGTCCAGGCTCACTTGCAAGCGCATGCGTCATTTCTTTCGATCATGTTTCTCCTTCGTCTTTTATCAGGCGCTCAATACGCCAAAAGCATTTCCTTGCTTACTGTTTCTTTTTGTCTGCGAGTACGTGCCGATCGTGTCGACTGCTTCACGCAGCATTTTTCTCTTTCACCTGTGCAACGACGTGTGTAGAATTGTTAGAACGGAAGCGTCTTTGACAAGTGTTATTATCATCACTACTGTTTTCGCGACAAGGAGTTTGCAGCGGTGCACGCACCAATTTCTTTTTCCTTAGTAACGTAAAGGCAGAGGCAATACAACGGAAATCTACTTGCTTCTTTTTTCTCCACGGTGCTTCACAGCAACCGTTTTTCTCCCCTTCCTACGATACGAAATGTATGTGCGGAGTTCCGCTGCAATTAAGGCTCTTCGCGTTTTCCTTTTTTATTCGCTCCGCACTGAGCTTCTCCGCGACGTAAGCAAACATTTCAGGTAGTTATCGTGTGCAACACACTGAGCACTTGTCTTTCGTTGCGTTCTTCAAGTGGTGGGCCGGAGGGGCTAGCAAAGAAACCGTGTGCACTGTAAAAGGAGGGGAGGGAAAGGTCATCTATGTACCACATATGTGTATTACTCCGTTTTCGTTTGGTTATTATTTTTTTTTTTTGTGTGTGTTTCTTTTTTCCGTTTTCTGACTTCGTGCGCGGTTGCTAAACACTGCCGTTGTGAAAATGAAGCTGTGCATGGACGTGCGAAAAGAACTTCAACGCTCTGCCGTTGAAAAACGAAATACGGGGGGCTAGTCTTCTGATAGCGGTTTTTCTAACTGTCGCCGGAGTCTACGGTAGAGAGATACGTATGTATCAGTTGTTCGTTTACATATTTTTTTTTTTACACCTAGACGCTTAAGGGAGTTTTGTTTGCAACTTCCTCTTGGCTGTTTACTTTGTTACCAATAAGTGAATGTACATGCAGTTTTATGGAGAGCTTTTATGTGTTGTGTGATCGTCCTTTTTCTTTTGCTTTCTCTCTCTACTTACCTCGTGTTTTGTGGTGTTTGAATTCGCCTATGAATTCAGTGGTCATTTTAAAAGGGTGAGAATGCTGCGTTATATATATATAAATATATATATATGTACATACATATCCAGCGGTTTTAGCTTGGCGTTTGTTTTTTTCTTTACTGGTGGCGAACGTGGAAAGTCTTGTGCCTGGTTTCATTATCTTCTCCTGTAACGGAGCGACCTCGTTTTTTTTTTATTATTATTTGAAAGGTAGATGACTTCTTTTTAAATGGGTTCCGTCTCAGTTCCCACTCTTTTTGCTTTGTTTTCTGTATCTTGGTTTTGTCAGTGCTTAAATAAATAGGATCCCTCTCTTTTTTTTTTCTTGGCTCTTCGTTTCTTTCTCACTTTAGGAATTGCATTTGCTCCCAATTTTTTCTGCATTGTTCATGTGGTTGACGTGAGCCATTCTCGCTCACTATTGTTTTCATTTTTTCGTCTCCTTCAGTGCATGGCAAGTCGGTTGTACTCATCGACATTTTTCATCTGCACTGCCTTCAACACGTTAATAAGGCATCTTAACGATGCATCCCGCCATAAATCAGATGCCGTGCGGGGAAAAAGGAGAGGATGCTGCAGAATTCTTCCAGCTCTCTGAAAGAGGAAGAAATGAAAAGTAATCAGACTGGTTCACTGAATTACGCTTTCGCACTTTCGAGTGTACCGACGGAACGTGCAAGTGCCTTCGTAGACGGCAACGAAGAGATTGGTCATCGAAGCAGCAACACTTTCAAAAACGCTTCTCCTCAACGCTCGAGTTTCCAACGTGTCCTGCGTCTCTCTCACTCCCACAATCTTCTTCTACGGCCTTTTCCCCTCCTTTTCTTTTATTTGTGCCTGGACGGCGTGTGCCAGTACGGTTCACCGCTGGCATTCACCAACTTAGTTGTTGAGCAAATCAGAGCGTACATCCATGAAGCAACCGTACAAGGTAACGTGGCGGGTGTACCTGCCAGGACTGTTTGTGATGTCCATGTTTAGCGTCGTGGTGTACTTCAGCCGGACGCGGTCAGAGGTGCTGAAGTACGGGCACGATTTCGTGCCCATTTATTCCGAGGACGGGAAACTCGAGGGCTTCACACATCCGGCGTTGGTGAATGCGGGCAATCGATATCGCGAAAGGGAAGAGCAGAAGAAGATGTAGCAGCATTGGGAAAACAGCTTTTCACACATGTGCAGCTCGCGCTGCTCCACACATGACGTCGTTCCGTCTCTCGCTGTCTTTCCCTTAAAGACGTACACCGAGGCGTAAGCGTTGCATCTTTCGCTACGTGGTCGTATCTGTGGCCACACTGTTCGTGTGAGCCTCTCACATTTGAAGCTTCCTTAAAAAACAACAACAAATTCCTCTCTTTTTTTCTCCTGGGATGCCATATATACCTTCTGGTACTGTCGTGCTGCGTCGCGCTTTTATCAGCAAGTCTTCGTGATTATCCTTCGTTATCTTTCGGGAGAAAAACAAAAAAAGTGTTCTGTTGTGTCCCTATGGATGTGTGTGGGCTGTACTGCATCCTACAGCTGCTTTTAAGCAGAAGTGATGCTGCTGAAGTTCGCAGGGCAGCGGGGTCACCTCGTTTCAGTGTCGCGGTCGCCTTTCTCTGCCGCTTCGCCTCTCTTTCAGATGGTGCTGTCTGCATCTTCTTTCTCTTTTTCCTTCCTCACTTCTTCAACTGTTTTTAATCGACGCGTGGCAATCTACCGCGTGCGCCTTTTCTGTTTGCTTTCGAAGCTTCACTCGTATCGATTGAAATTCCCTTTTTCATTTGTTGCTCTGGCAGAACCACAAGTGCGCTTTGTCGAACGTTATTTTTGAATACCACGTCGCTTTCATTTGCTCGTCTTGACCACCTGATCATCGCCTGAATCGCTTTCCTCACTTCTCTGATCTAGCTGTGCGCGTGGATCGTTGCGCGGAAACGAGAGCTAAGGCTTTATCTTTTTCACCTCGTCGTGAGGGGCATCAACATTCACCTTACTGAGAACTCGCGTTTCCCAATTCTCCTCCACCTTCTCAACATGTCGATTATGCAGTACAGCGGTGGCTCCGTGATGGCCATGGCGGGCAAAGAGTGCTTCGTTATCATCTCCGATAACCGCCTCGGCGAGCAGCTGAAGACGATCTCGATGGAGGTGCCGAAGCTGCACATCGTCAACGACAGCGTCGTTTACGGCCTCACCGGGCTGCGCACCGACCAGCAAACGTTTGCAAACAAGGTTGAGTTCCGCACGGAGATGTACAAACTGCGTGAAGAGCGCAACATCACCGGAAAGGCCTTCGCGGCCATGCTCACCTCCATGCTCTACGAAGCTCGCTTTGGTCCGTGGTTCGTTGAGCCAGTGGTTGGCAGCATAGACAAGGAAACGGGCGAGGTGTATTTGTGCGCCACCGACCTCATTGGTGCTCCGTGCGAGCCGGAGGACTACGTGTGCGCTGGCACCGCTGGCGAGAGTCTGCATGGCATGTGCGAGGCCCTGTGGCGCCCGAACTTGTCTCCTGAGGAGCTCTTCGAAGTGGCAGCCCAGGCGATGCTCTCCGCGTGCGATCGCGACAGTCTTTCTGGCTACGGTGCTGTCGCGATGATTGTCACGAAGGAGAAGATCACTACCCGCCTCATCAAGGGCCGTAAGGATTGAGGTGTGACGGCGCGACGCGTGCGATCTTTGCTTTACGTCTTTCTTTTTCTTGTGCTGGTCTCGAAGAGTTTCCGACTCACCCAATGACGTATTTGTTCTCTTCACGTGTGAAGGGCGCCGTTGCGGAAAAGAGAGCTGCACGCGTTTGCGATGTCGGTTGTTATTATTAGCATGAGATGGCCGTGAACAACTTCATTTCGCTGGCTTTTTTCTGGTGCACTTTTTTATTGTATGATGGGCGAATTGAAGGAGAAGGAAAAGGAGACCGATGGTGATTGACATGCAAGGCGAAAGGAAGAAATCTCCCTCGACGAGAAACCTCCTTTTTCCATACACGCTGAAGTACTTGCACCGGGGCAGAGGGGTATTTGCAGGTTGTTCTGCGAGCAGGTTTTGCAACTGGATGTGAAGGACAGCCTGCGATTCAAGAGGGTTCTGTTTCGCAACAAGACGCGAAGCTTCACACCTCGCCCATGCAGAGAACTTTCTGCCGCTTAAAATGACCGTTGTGCATATATGTGTGCGTGTGTGTATCTGTGTCGGGGGTGAGATAACCCTATTACACCTCTAGTTTTAACATCTCAACTGGTTGCTTCTCCCCGTTCCGCTTATCCGTTAATCGCTTCCGTTTCCTTCTTTCTCGCCGCTCCTTGTCCTCTTTCCTCTTTCCTCTTGTATGCTGTTTGCGCAACTTCTATGTTTCTTCAGCTCCAAGGAGCGTCGCTTTTGTTTGGTTCTGCCACTTGCAGCAGCGAAGCTTCTCCTTTCTTCCCGCGAGGTGCGTGCGCGTTTATTTTGGTATTTGCTTTCGATCGTTGCGCTTCTGCCTCGCGCTTCTTGCCGCTGCTTTTTTTTTTTCCTTCTCCTTGACCTTCCATAAAGCAATTACTGTAGCTTCACCCTCCCACCTTAGCTGGCACTATGGAGACGAAGAGAGCGGCACCAGACTCCATCGGCCGTGCCACCACGGCCCCGATGCTGTTCTGCTCGCGGTGCAACAACCTGCTGTACCCGGAGTGCGACGAGGACGGCTACAGCATGGCGTGGCGGTGCAACTATTGCAAAACAACGGAGCAGCACGACGACTGCAAACTCGTCCACGTGATGAACTTAAAAATGAAGGCGGACGCCATCGGCGGCATGGATCTTATAGCGGAGTTCGCCAGCGACCCCACCGCCCAGCGCGACCCCGATAAGCAGTGCCCACGGTGCAACAAGAAAGGTGTCGCATGCTTCGTCAACCCACTCGGCCAACCGCAGGAGGATATGACGCTGTACTTCGCCTGCTCTGACACCGAGTGCCGTTATGTATGGAAGGGAACGACCGTGGAGGATCAGAATTAAAGCTGTGGTGAGTGACGACACTCGTTAAGCGAGAATAGTGATACATTAAGAAAGAAAAGTGCGCATGGAAGTCCGTTAGACGCCGCGTTTGTGTCGGCCTCTTACCACTTCAAAGCGTACAAACTTCTGGAGAACGTCAACAGAGGGAATTGGAGCTTTCGTGGGCTGGTGGAAAGGACCCTGTGACGTGGGTTGTGTGCACCACGATCCAAAAGGGTAGCGCCGCTGCCCTCTTCGTTTCAAAGGACGCCGCCTAGTTTTTTCCGCGCCCTCGCTTCTGCACACTGCGCTCTCTCTTCTCTCGCCATTTCGTTTGTTATTCTCTCGTGTGCGGCATTTGTGTTTGAAGGCAACACCTGGCTCTCGTCCTTCTCCAACTTGTGCTGTTCGCACCGTTTCTACCGCTGCGCAACACGGCTGATGGTGTCGGTAGAAAGGAAAACAGCGCCTCCCGTCTAGAGCAAGTTGTTTTGCTTTCGCTATTACTGCTCTCCACCGGTGCATAGAACGATAACACGATAATAAATCGGCTTCATAGCTTATCTAACGGAAAGCGCAGCAGCCATGCACTTCTTCAAGTTATCCGTGCCGCTGGCATGTCTCATCTATCACTTCATCTTAGTCACCATCACACAGGTGAACTATGTCCTTTTTATTCGATTCCAAAACACGGCACTGGAGCTCCGCCAGGCTTATCTCGCCTTCAGCGTTATCGGCATTGTCGCGTACGGCGCGTGCGCGGGGCCGCTTTTCGTGTACGCCTACAAGTACGGTAGCACCTGGTCGCTGCGACTGGGCCGCCTGCTGTGCGGGATTGCGGTGATGTTCGTCTTCTCCTCACTGCCCATGCTCATCATCGAGTTGGTTCAGCTGCTCTACTTTGATGGCCACTTCAAACACGCGTTAGATGGCATGTGCTTTGTTTTACATCTCCTCGCGGCCGGCGCCGGCGGATGTACTTCGTGGTTTGCCTACCTGCGTGCGGCGGCGCGATGCCTGCAGAACTGGCGAGGCCCGGAGCGGCAGATTGTCGACGAAGCGGAGAACATCCCAACGAAGGAGTTTCAGCTCAAGCTTGTCAAGCGCTCGCAACTCCAGCCGCAGACCATTTAGATTTGGCGAAACGGTGTGGTCATGGTACACCGCCATGCTTCTCTCCGTGCTTGTAACTCCATTGCTTTTCGGTGTACACCGCGACTTTTCCTTCCGCTTTGTTTTTCCTCCTTTGTCGCTTCATAAAGTTATGGCTTTCTTTCTTCACCTAGATCAGCTTCTTCAATCCCTTTAACGGGGCTGGGCAACGCATCGTTTAGTAACTTAGACATCTGTTTTGCTCTTTTTCCATTTCAGCAGCAGCTTTTCGTGAGCGAGTTCATCCGCCCGTATTGCTTTGACAATAAGGTCATCCTCACAATGACTTCGTTGAATGGGGCACCGTGACTTCCGTTGCTACTGACTTTTATATTCCCTCAGTGCCCCACCATCGGCTGTTGTACGCCGTCAGAGAATAGCATCGTAGAAGAGGTGGTCGGCGCTAGTTGATAGAAATCTCTTTCAGTCCTTTGAGAAGGCTTTTTAGAATTTAAGCGTCTGTTTTGGTATCCGCTCAGCGCACTTCTCTCGTGCGATGCATCACACCTGGCACTTGTCCTCCGCTCTTCTTTTCTCGCTGATGTGCGTCTCACATCTTTTTTCTTCTTCTGTGCCTTTTCAGAACGAGCTCCCCGTTCATCGTAATAATTCCACTATTGACCGTTCGTTTAGCGCAAGCTCCTCCCTCGCCGCACCAACGTAAACTATCTTTTCTTTTTCTGCCAAAGGAATAAAACAAAAAACGGAAGTAAGCTAAAATCTCTCAGTGTAGCTCACGGACAGCCAGCCATGTCGGATGCCGAGCGCAGTATCGCCTCAGCGCGCGTGCTGAGCTACAACTTTAACATCCTTCCTCGCGGTAGCGGTGGCTACCAGCACGAGCGCATCGAGGCGTTTCTGGCAAATGTCGACGCCTACGACGTGCTGCTGCTGCAGGAGGTGTACGCGATGAGCTACCTGCCCTACGCTCTCCAGAAGCAGTTCTGCTACCAAAAAATGCTGCTTGACGGGCTCAAGGAAAAAGGCTTCCACTACTACGTCATCTCGCGCCAGCCGTCGTACCGCACCATCCTGCAGTACAACGTGTGCTCGGACAACGGCCTCATCATCGCCTCGCGCTTCCCGATCTGGCACCGCGGCTCCTACACCTTCCGCAGCCACGAGCGCCGGGAGGCAACTGTGAGCAAAGGCTGCCTCTTTGCGGAGATCGAGCTGCCGGCGGCGAATGGCCAGGGCAACCAGCGTGTGGTGGTCTTCAACGTGCATCTGCGCCCGGAGGACAACTTGCCGCCGGAGTCGTCGCAGATACAGCAGGTGCACCGTTTCGTGCGAGCGGCGCTGGCGCAGGTCAACGGCCACTGCCCCAGCTCGCCTGTCGGCACGGTGGCGCAGCAGCCCGACGGCGGCGACGTGCCTTTTATCATCTCCGGCGACTTCAACATTTACGGCATCGACACAACGACTGGGCACACCTCAAAAAACTTCCAGGACTTGCTGAGTCAGTTTCAGAGCCTGGGGACGGTGCGGGATGTGATTTACGAGGCGCAGGGCCAGAACCCGCCCACGCGCCCGGCGAGTTTGTACTTCCCGAAGCTGTCGAAGCTGGAGCGCTTTGAGGCGATACCGCAGCGGCAAGATTACTTCTTTGTCAACGCAGCCGTGCAGGTCGACCACCCCCACCTGGAGAAGTTCATGATGGGCAGCCGGCGGCCCTACACGTACCTGTCCGACCACTTCGGCACTACCTGCCGCATAACGGTGGCGGTGGACCCGAACCAGGTGATGGCAGAGCGCTCTCCCTCCCGGCTGAACGTCTCGAGCTTGGTTGAGGCCGCCAATCACGAACACTCCAACCCCACCTCGAACAGGCGTCTGGAGGCGCTACTCTTGGCGGTGGCGGCGTGGCTGATTTTCACCATCAGCTTCAAGTCGTTTGTTCTCTGTGTCTTCCTGGTCTGGGTGGTGATGTACTCCTCGCAGCGCTACACCTCGGTGCCGGTCACCGGTGAACCACCGCTGGTGTCGCTGGAGGCGCTGAAAGAGACCGAGGAGCTGTGCATGTCCAACAAGGCACTCAACCCGCTGGCGGGCGTGCAAACCCTCGGCGAAATGTGGGAGCGCAGCGTGGCGCGGTTTCGCACCTTTAAGTGCCTCGGCGCCACCAGCGAGCTGGGCGAGCCGGAGTGGATGTCGTACGGTGCGGTGGACACACGAGCGAGGGAGCTCGGGGCGGGCCTGCTGGAGATGGGCTTCCGCGCCGGCGACCTCATCGGTGTGGAATGCGAGCCGAGCCGCAACGCCGTCATCCTTGAAGTGGCCTGCGCGCTCTACGGCTTTACGACGGTGCCGCTGGCCGGCAAGCGGAGCACCATGCGAACCCTTCTCGACCAGAACAAGATTCGCGCTGCGGTGGCGGATCGCAGCGCTGTGGCGATGCTGCTCTCCTGCCGCTCGACGAAGCTGGAGACGGTCATCTACACGAACGCCTTCGCCGATGAGGATGACCACATGACAGCAAAGGACTTGAACATCGCTTTCTTCCCGTTTGAGTACGTGGAGCAGCAGGGCCGCCTTCACCCGGTGCCCCCGAACACGGAAAACGTGACGACCGACTCGGTGCTGACCTACGTGATGGAGAACACAAACATCGCGTCGTGCAGCGACAGCAGCGCGCTGCTGCCGGTCCGCCACTTCGCCGTACTCCATGATCTGAGTGTGCTGCTCATGACTGGCGTGCTGCCGTCCTCCTACAAGCAGGAATCAATGGTGTGGTTCAGCCCCATGGCCTCGCTCTTCCAGCGCATCTGCGTGATGGGCATGCTAAGTCAAGGCAACGCCATCGCTACAACCGGCGCGGCCCATCTGCAAGAGACCTTCGTCAAGTTCCACCCGACCCTCCTCGTCACGTCCCCGGCGCTCTTCCACACGAGCCGCTTGCAGCTGAGCCGTGCGCGACGACGGTACGGCGCGGTGTACAACTGGATGTTCAACGCCGTCTACCAGCTCATCTCTCGCCGCATTCATATTAATCGGCAGGACAGCGCCGCTCTGCGCTTCCTGTTCTTCCGCGCCTTCCAGCGGCAGCTCGGCGGGTCGGTCCGCAAGATCATCCTCAGCGTTTCGCAGGAGAGCACGAGCTTTAGCCTGCTGGAGCACATCGGCGTGTGCTACGTGCCGTCCGTGTGCGAGGTCAGCTATCAGAACTGCGTAGGTGTCACGACCATTGATGGCTCGCCTGCGCCGTCGCTGGCGCTCAACTTAAAGCCGCTGAGCGCGCTGTCGGACAGCGCCGGCATCGGGCAGGTTGTGGTGACGAGGAAGGGCGAGCCGGCGCTGGAGCTGCAGATTGCAGCGCAGCGGAAGCGTGACAACACCTTCACCTTTCTCGGCGCCCCGCTGGGAGTGCTGTGGCCGGTGAACTTCCAGTACGCCGTCGCCGTGGAGCTGGAGCACACCTTTGCCGTCTCGCGCTACGTCAACACCATCTTTGTGTACTGCGACCCACTGAAGCCGGTGATCGCCGTCGTGTGCCCCAACCGTGACACGATTGGGTTTGAGTGGTACCAGGCTCACCCGGTAGAGGACACGGCGAAGCCGGTAAGCTGGGCGGAGCTGGTGAACTTTGGCAGCCAGCTGATCATGGAGGACTTCGTCAGCATCGCGAAAGAGGAGAAGCTGCATCCCTCGCAGATCCCCCAGTTCGTCCACCTGCACCCGCACGCATTCAGCGACCACGGCACTTTTCTCACGCCCTTCGGCAAAATCCGCCGCGATGTCATGCACAGCTACTTCGCTTCTGTCTTTGAGAGACTGTACGCCGGCGCGTCTACCTCGCCCCTCGCCTCCAGCGCCGACCTGCCGATGGAGATGAGCGACGCGGACAGCACGACGTCGAAGCTCGACGGCGCGAGCGAGTTCGACCTCTGCGTGCCGGCCACCGTCGACATCGGCGGCACCTTTGCCAAGGTGGCCTTCCTCATGCCGCCCACCGCGAGCGGCATCACGCCTTTCTCGTCTGCGATCCAGGAGGCCTCTTCCCTTTCCGAGAAGGTGGGCCTCCGGACCTTCCAGTACTTCGCCGACCCCGAGGCGGCGGAGAAGGAGCTGCGGCTGAACCCGCACTCGCGCGTGGGCACGCTGTGCTTCATGAAGATCCCGTCGCAGCAAATCCCGCGCTTTGCCGAGCACCTGGCGAGCACGCACGCCCTCACCGCCTTCAAGCCGGAGTACATGAAGAAGTTGCGGGCCACGGGTGGCGGCGCCTTCAAGTACTCTCAGCTGGCGCAGAACGAGCTGGGCGTGGAGTTCGACGTGGTGAAGGAAATCGCCGCCGTGGTGAAGGGGCTCAACTTGGTTCTGCGCATTGCTCCAGAGTCCGTCTTCACGGTGGACCCGTTGACGGGCGTCCACCACCCCCACAAGCTTGTCAGCACCGGCGACACCTTCTCTCCCTTCCCGTACATGCTCTACAACATCGGCTCGGGTATTTCCTTCATCAAGTGCCTGAGTGCCGACGGTGCGCACACTCGTGTGGGCGGGTCACCGATTGGCGGGGCCACCTTCTGGGGCCTTGTGCGCACCATGACGAACCTCACCTCGTGGGAGGAGGTGATGGAGATTATGCGGCTGGACGGCCCGGGCGACAACAGAAACGTCGACCTCCTCGTCGGTGACATCTACGGCTACAACGCGAAGGACTTCCCCGAGATGCTGTCCGCGGAGATGGTGGGCAGCACCTTTGGCAAGCTCGGCACGGAGCGCTTCTACGACATGCACCGCGTTAGCCACACCGACCACTTCGCGGACGACGACGCCACGAGCAAAATCCTCTCCCCTTTGGCGAGCAAAGCGGCCGCGTCGGACTTTATGTCGCCGGTGGTACGCAACGGCACCAGGGCCGCCTCGGCCATCGATATTGTGCGGTCTATGCTCAACATGATCGCGAGTAACGTCACCCAACTGGCGTACCTGCACGCGAAGGTGCACGGCGTGAAGAACATCTTCTTTGCCGGCGGTTTTGTGCGCGACAATCCGATGCTTTGGAGCCTGATCAGCTCCGCGATGAAGTACTGGTCCTCGGGCGACTGCCACGCCCACTTCCTTGAACACGACGGCTACCTCAGTGCGCTCGGGTGCGCGATGCTGGACCAGCAGGACCCCATAAAGAAATGAAAGTGCTCCGAGAAATAATATCAACGCCACATAAAAAAGTTCAGGCGTATGATCTTTTGTTTCCCTTCTGAGATTTCATAACGCTGAATTCAACTCATGGCGAGTTATTCCGCTCTTCGCAGTTGAAGACATCGTTATTCTCATGCTTCTCTTTCGTGGTTGTGGGGGTCAGACCGTCTCAGCGTCACAGCTATCGCCTTGATCGTTTCCACTCCTGTGCGTTTCTCGCGGTATTCGATTTTCTTTCTTTCCTCTGTGCCGGTGATTCTACACCGACTTGTGTGCCAACCTGAGTTGATGTCGTTTTTCTTTTCTCTTTCTGCAACAGTGCCCCGGCACACCCTTTTCATATTTCCCTTTTCCACCCCTCCTCAAATATTTTCTCGATACAGCGGACTCCCTTTTTTTCATTCTTCACTTCTCGGAAGACACGTTGACACGCTCCGCGTAACTTCCTCCTTAAAATACAGAAGAAGGAAACATGGAATCTTTTTTATAAATGGCGTTGCTTATTGGTTGTGTGCGCGTGTCCCAGTTCTTTTGCGATCGGCTTGCGTCAATTTGGATAAAGGCGCCTCAAAAATGTGGGCAATGCGCAGTGCTTTGGGGTGTAATGAAGCTGCAGCACTGCTTTCTCGTTTCTTGCTGTTTTGCAATAAAGCGGGCGATTCTTTTTTCTGCCTTCTTGTGGTGTTGAGCAGTCCTCGTGGTGGATGGGGCGGGGAGTGCGTGGAGGGCTGTTGTGAGAGGCCTTTTTATTTGTCATTTGCCCATCGTAGGTGTACTGCTCTGCTGTCGTAGTTTCATTGTAGCGAAACACACATGCAGGTGCGGTCCAGTTCGCGTTGTTCGTTTGCTTGTTTACTGCCGTCTGACGATGTCTTCCGTTCTGCTCACCCACCTCTTATGCCCGGAAACTTCCAACGCGCTTTCCCTCCTTTCCCCCTCTCTCCTCATCGCTTTTGACGCGACTGAACGCGTACCGTTCGTTGTAATACCCCACAATCGGTGCGCCGTTTCCTTTCACACCTCCCAGTCACCCTGCAGGGGAGGAACAAAAATGTTCTCGTTGTGCCTCCTTTCTCCGTAAACTGCTTGTCGTGCTCTGTTCTTCTCTTTTTTTTTTTCAAAGGCTGTGCTTGAACAGCGAAGAGGTGTATGAAACGTACGCAGGCCCATTTTGCGCGGCCGGTAAGATGACCCGATACAAACTTAAAGCCACACATATGTTCTGCCAGTTTTTTTTTCTAACTTGTTGATTTATTGATTATTTTTTAACTGATGATTTCCACTAGCGTTGAGACATCTCCGTACCTCGACACTTTTATTTTATAATCTTCACAGCTAACGTATCCGCTCCTATAGGTTGCGCCACTGGCATGTAAACAATTTCAGCGACTGAAAGGAGGCTGTGTTTGGCAGGGGGTTACGTTACGCTAAACGAAGGTCGTAGGGTACGTGTGGTGGCCCATAAAACGAGTGCTAAAAATGGCGTGAGGGGAACCGAAGTACATCTTTTGCCCCGAAGCGACATCCGCATCTTTATTTTTATTTTCTTTCAGTGATTCTTTGTAGCCGTTAACTAAGCACGGGCTAGTTAATTGAATGCTCACGACCGGCAGCAAAGGTAGGCAGGTGTGCACCGATGTCTGGCTCTGGATCGTTGCAGCAGTTATTCAGTAATTCGTTGAGCAAAAACCCTCAATGTTGTGAAACCATGTAGCGTGCTGTCAGACGGTGACGCCACGCGTGCAGCTTGGAAACGGTGCTCTCTTTTGGCACCACATTTTCTATTCGACTTATCACCTCCTCCACCAATCCTTCCCCACTTAAGATATCGACAAGGTTGGATGCTTACGTTGCAAGAGGTAGTGACACAACAAATACCGTTTTTGAATTTATTATTATTTTTTTTTATTGTTTTTCTTTGTGTACATTTGGCAAGTTCAAGCACCCGCATAACGAGTAACCGCAAGTGGATTGCACGCAGAGATCTACTGTGTCACGCACATCTCCCTACGGGGAAATCGCATCAAAAAAGTCTGAATCAACACATACCCTGTAAATTTGAGTTTCCACGGAATGGAGCAGTTGAGGCGCGATCTTATTTGCCAGTTCTTTCGGCGATGCATATTTGCATTGCATTCCTTTGTGCTTCTCGTCTCTTCGTTGCACCATTCTCTTTTTGGAGGGGCGAAAGGCAGGAAGATGTGCCTCTCGTTGGAAAGTGAGGCACTATGAGTAGAAGGGCAGCAGTGAGACACTAACGCTGCTCTCTCGTCGTCCTCATCGCTTTTCTCCTCCGAACCTTTCGCGAGTCGTCAAGTCCCATAACGCACCGCTGTTGTTTACCCAGCGTAACTGCTCTCACGCTTTCTGCTTCGCCCTCTCTCCTGTGTGGATTTCGCGTGCTTCTTGTTTTTCTCGTTCCATGACATTCCATGGGCGGCGGTGGCGTGACGCTCTAACGCACAACACAACGACTCTTTAGTGCATCCAACAACGGGAGTCAAAAACCACCACCACGAATTATTTCGCCCGAAGATATATATTTGTAGCGCTGTTACCCGCAAAGGAAACACTGTTTCACTCTCGTTGGTGCATTCTCTGCCGACATACCCGCTCCTTCAACTTATATACACACACACACACGCACCCGCGTATACTCTCACGCGTCTTCGGAACTGGTCCACCTGACCGCGTGCTTCTTGCCTTTGTTTGCTTCCTTCTCGCTTTTTCTTTTTGCGGCCTCTTCTTCCGTTTCTTTTCTTTTTGCTGAGGCGGTTCTCCTTTCGGACACGAAGACCCTCGCGGACATCGATGCGTGACGTCGCTGCAGCGCCCAACGACTGAATTCACCGCCAACTTTACGTCTCTTGTTTTTTTCTGTCTCTCCCTTCTTGTCTCCTCCTACTTTTCGACGTCGCTTGTGCCTTTGCTACAAGCATTGCACCCCTTACTAAATTCCTTCACGTAGAGAGGAAAAGCCGCCGTTTTGTGGTTCAGTGAATCCGAGTCGCAGCACTTTCCTGGTGCTTGTCCTGTTCCGCTTTTACACTTGCTCTCATGGCGTCGGCTCCGCAGACGACGGCGGAGATCGTCGCGGACGGGAGGGAGACGGTGTGGGATGTTCTCAAGCAAGAATCGAAGGAGCTGCGGTGGTACGTGCTGGCCGTAGCGTGCTTCCTGACGTTTGGCAGCTACTACATTTACGATTTCCCAGGCTCTATTGGAAGTGGTAGCGGCAACACGATTGAGAACTTCTTTAAGAGCCACGGGCACTTCTACACGGAGAGTATGAACCAGTACCTGTACAGTGTGTACTCGTGGCCTAACACCGTTCTTTCCGTCGTGGGTGGGCTGCTGATCGACAAGTATCTTGGACTGCGCCGCGCCATGCTGCTCTTCACGTCTTTGATCCTCGCCGGTTCGGTGCTCTTCTACATCGGTGTGCACAACACCACGTATTGGATGCTGATTGTCGGGCGTATTGTGTTCGGACTTGGTGGGGAATCGCTCTCCGTCTCGCAGTCCGCCTTCGTGGCGCGGTGGTTCAAAGGCTGCCGAGGAATGGCGCTGGCTTTTGGCATCACCATCAGCTTCTCCCGCGTCGGCTCCTCCTTCAACTTTCTCTTTTCGCCGTTGATTGCCAACAATTGGGGCGTCGAGGCTGCTGCCATTGCAGGCACCGGTGCGTGTGTCGTCTCCGTCGGCGCGTGTAGCGTGTTGGTGTTAGCCGACCGCTACGCGGAGCGCACGGGCTACTTGACGCCGACGACCGAGGAGGAAGGCGCGGCGGAGGCGGATGCGAATGCGATGAAGCTGTCGGACGTGGTGCGGATGCCCTTCGCCTACTGGCTGCTCTGTGCCGTGTGCGTCTTCTGCTACACCGCCATCTTTCCGTTTATGGGGGTGGGAAAAAACTTCTTTGAGGTGAAGTACGGCTACAGCGGCGACACGGCGGCCCGTTATTTGTCGTTTTACCAAATCACCTCCGCGGTGGCGAGCCCGGTGATTGGGTTAGTGGTGGATGCGGTGGGTCGCAACACGCACTGGCTCATCCTCGCGTGCTCCTGTTTTGCGTCGATTCATGTGGTGTTCATGACGACAATGATCCCTGCGCCGGTGCTGATGGTGCTGATGGGTGGCTTTTACAGCTTCCTCGTGTCAGGGCTTTGGCCTTCGATTCCATGGGTGGTGCCGGACAACGTTGTGGGCGTGGCGTACGGCGCGATGACCTCCATCCAAAACATCGGTTTGGCGTCGTTTCCAATGCTTGCCGGGGCCATCTTGGATCATTTCCGGCGATACAATGGCGGTGGAAATGGCAGCAGCAGCAGCAGCAGTAGCAGCGGCAGCAGTGGTGCGTTGCTTGCGCAAGACCTGCCGCCGCTCGTGGGCTTCATGTGGACCGAGGCGCTCTTTCTCCTCTCCGCGTTGGTGGCTCTCTTAGCCAGTGTGGTGCTGCTCTCCGAGGATCGCCGCACCGGTGGCGTGCTCAGCGCACCGAGTCACATGCGACTACAGATTGTGGAGGGCCTGCGGCGGCAGCGGCAGGACTTCGAGGACGTGGTCCCGGATCTGGAAAACGTGGTCTACGACGAGGAGGACGAGCACAACGCCGATACGGAGTCGTTGGCGGGGGCGGCGCTGACTGACGCGCTGCCGATCGCGTCGGAGGCTCCTGTGTGCCCACCAAAGAAAAGTTAAGGAATTCAAGCAGTGCATAATAGTGTTATGAGTGGAGCAGGATTGTGGATCCTCTCTGTCGGTGTCTGTGGACCTTGGGATCGATTCTGGGTGATGATGGTCTCCGAACACCTTCTCTGGTCGCCGCGACAGTGCAACAATGCTTTTTGTTATCGTGTTTTCCGTTGGCTCAGCGACTTGCCCCTCTCTATCAGCTGCGGCACTTCTGCTTTCCTCTTCCTGTGCTGTGCTCCACAACTGTTGTTGGATGTCGTTGCGATGTTGTGGTCGCGTTTAATTCAGGAGGTGTCGTGCTGCCAGCGGAAAGGCAAGAACTTCTCCTTCCTGGGTTGAGAGGTTTTCCATTTTTTTTCCCGCCTCTATACTGCCTTTCTCTTCCGAATGGTTGCGCTTTCTTTCCCTCGTTGCCGCCACCGCATGGCTCGAACTAATCTAAAGAGTCATTCCTGAGTTTGGCAACTGAGGACGTTCGCCTCACTGCACGACTCGCATTTCGATTCCTGCGTGAAAACCTGCTCCGCTGATGCTGCGAATTGGAGACGGAAGTGTGCCTTTTCCTTTTTGGGCCCCATCAGGACTCACTTAGGTACCGTTGCCCGTCTCAAATCCTTAACGCGGTCGATCTTTCTTCCTGTAATCATATAAATATATGTGGGTGTGTGTATCTGTGCTTCGCGGCCTTTTCGCTCTTCTCTGTGTGCCACCTTCGTCTTACCCTTCGAAACAATGAACTCCTCTCCACTGTTCCCCGGATGTGCTATTGACGCATGTACGTGCATTGGCCTCTCATGCGTAAGTCTTTTTTCCATCCTCTTTTGGGTGGAGTTGCGCATTCTCTTGTCTTGCAGGTCGGACCACACCCGACTCTCCCACGGCCCATACGTCACCCACCTTTCAATGCCGAGTAGAGCTGTCCTTCGCAGAAAGAAACACCGCGACGCGAAGCGCGGCAAGTCGGGCGAGGAAGGCGACAGCAGACCGCCGTCCCACCGCATCACCCCGCCTCACCTCGATGACGAGGACGGCAGTTGCGTGTCGTCGTCGTCGCCTCGCAAGCGCAGCCACGACGCACTCGCCGCCCCGTCAACGCTGGCCACCTCACTGTCCGCCACGCCAGCGTTAAGGGAAGTTGTGGTCGCGAAGCGGGCCCGCCGCGAGCCGCCGCCGCCGCCTGCGCAGATGCCGGAGAGCCTGACGCGGAAGGAGCGCCACCGCTGGGAAACGAGTCAGCGCCTCGAGCGGCAGATGACGCGCCTGAGCTCCACGGTTGCGGCGGTGCAGCAGATGATGGGTGACGCGACAGCGGAAGGAGCGCAGGACGCTGTGCAGCTGGAGCCGAAGTTGCGGCACGACCCGAAATTTGCGCATGGCACCTTCTGGCGTGATCGCAAGGAGAAGCGCGCCCGCACACTCTTTCTTGGTGGTATCCCGTCCTACTTCACGGTGAGGCAGATAACAGACCTGATTAGTACGGTGGTCGATTCCGATCCGAACGCTGCCGACTACGTAAGCCAAATTGGCAAGGAGAAGGACGTGGTGGAGGAGGTGGATGTACTGCCTGTGAAGCACAACAGCAAAGTGAAGCACATGTATGTCACAATGGCCTCGGTACCGCTGGCTGGCTGCGCGGCGGCGATGCTAGACCGATATGAGATGGAGGGCCGCCAACTGCGGTGCAACTTTGCGGCAGACAAGACGCAGCGAGAGGAGGCAATCCGACGCCGCAACACGGATCAGCGCTAAGCGACGGCGGGCGCGACTTGTTTCTGTTTTTTTTTCCCTGTTGTTGGTAACGACGTTTTTGAGAAAGTCCATAAATTGTAATACCCCACGTGCGACGTGGTGAGCCGCACATAACGCTCAAATTAGGGAAGAGCAAAACATGAGAGGCTCGCGGTGTTTTTGTGCATCAACGGCAACACGGCAAAGCGTCACGTGGAATGAAATCGAGCTATTTTGTATGTTCAGTCTAAATTGCGGCCGTCATCGTGTGTCTTTCCGCATTTTTCCTGTTTCTTTCTTCCCAATGAAGTGTCAGCTGTTGGTTGAAGAAGAAATCGCCGATGTTGCTGCTGCTGTTCATGAACTCCCACATTTGCTTCATGCGCTTTTCTTATCCGCCGTCGTCCCTCCTCTTTTCTCGCTTTCGGCTAGTTTTTCTTTCTCCTGTGCCTGAAAACTACGGCCTCTTAATAAATAGCTGGGCTGCGCACGCTGCACGTTACGGGGTGATTACATCTCTCTCTGTCTCTGTCTCTGTCTCCCACCCCCGTCGAAGACCACCTTGCTACTGAGCCTAGTAAGCAAAGACGGCATACACTTCCTCTTCGAGGCACCGTTATGTGGCTCGAGAAATCCAGAGACAACTCTTGTTTTTGCGTCTTTTCTGTTACCCCAAAACTTCTGTAGATACACTCGCATCTTTATAAATCAGTTTTTTGTTCCGCTTTGTCTGCCATTCTTTTGTTTGGCATTTTTACTTTGTTCGCCTTTTCGCTCTGTCCTGCGCCCCAACCGGAGAGCGAAGAAAGAAAATAACTTCTGCCTTGTGTTCTTCTCTCGTGGATCAACTGAGCGAGCTTTACAGCTCTGGATTCTCTTTCCGATAGCTCTAGCACACACACACACACACACACACATATATATATATATATATATATATATATATAATAC